GTGAGTCTCGACCCCCCAATCTGTGGGTTGCGCTATGTAGCCTTTACAAGCCACAGTGTAATTCCAGCCTGAAAGGAGCTCCTACGTTCTTCTTTCTTTATCATTCCTTCCGGCAACTCCGAACGACGAGCTTGTACGGTATCGACGTCATTTTCGCGACATACAATACAGTGCATCGCTCGCTTTACAGCGAGCGATGCGCTTTGGTTTCCAGGTGATTCTATTCGTTGCCATTGTTATCAACAGAAAAGGAAATGACGCGTCCATGAAGGATTCTTTATTCGGCGCCCTGTTTGTGTATGTTTACTTGAGCCACTTTCACTTTGCAAGTCTCGTTGACCAGAGCGGTTATCGATGTCCCCTGCGGTCGATCGTAACGACGACGTCCATAACGACACAATGGTCTTTTCTGTTTTTTTTTCATGCTGTGATTCGTCCCTGCAATGTGGCATGGGGAAAGGAACAACTGAAAGCGATGGCGGAGCCAATGAAGGGCCGAGATAACGACTACACGTACACAACGTCTGCTCTGCACGTTATGACGGCTGATCCGGATAACATCGTCGCGAGCGTTAAGCATATATGGGGAGGTAATAATGACCTCAGCGCACAATCGTGCCCGCGCAGTTAGCAATCAACGCCGCACATGTACTCGCGGTCCGAACGCGAGGACGGGAAAGAGCATTTCGATCTCACGTAAACGACTTGGAATACGGTGCTGCAGTAAAACTTCTTTTTTTTGTTTACTTTTTTCACGATCATGGCGTCGTCCGCAAGATCAAGTCTTTTGTTGTTGTTGTTGTTGTTGTTGTTGTTGTTGTTGTTGTTGTTGTTGTTGTTGTTGTTGTTGTTGTTGTTGTTGTTGTTGTTGTTGTTGTTGTTGTTGTTGTTGTTGTTGTTGTTGTTGTTGTTGTTGTTGTTGTTTGGAACTAAATCTCGGTGAGCGTGGGGCCTCGCAAATGAGGCAAAGGGGCTCACACGAAGATGGAGGTCCGATTTGATGGATGGGCGTACAAAGCCTTTACGACAGTGGAGTGGAGTGCTGCGGCTGCTAACGGTGCGTGGACGGGGTGTAATTCTATCGCAGGCGCTGCGTGCGACCCGTTCTGAATTCGTCTCTTACAAAGTACTTTTTCAAAGTATTTTTTTTTCTGAGCCGACAAACGAAACGCGCTGTTCTAGCAAAGCCGAGTGCGTGCGTATGCGTGTGTGTGTGTGAAAGTGTGCGCACGTTGATTATAGGCTGCTTGAGCTCCGATCTTGAGGACTCACTTGAACGTCATTTGCGCCACTGTCCTTAATCGATCATGAAGTTTCCAAGTAATCACTGAACAGCCTCACTATCGAAGTGTAATGCCTCACGATTCGATTTCCTGGAAAGGGGAGACCACCCCGAAGACGACACTTAAAGAATAACGAAATAAAGATGTTTGTTCGCTCTGTCGACTGGCGCAAAAATAGAAGCAGCATTTCAGGTACTCGTCACAAGCTTTGAGGGGTTCCTAAACCACGCAGAGGTCAACATTTTGTAGTGGTGTTGCCGTTGTGCGTTAGCTTAACCATGGGAAGTTTCTGGAACGGTGCCGTAGTAGCGAAGTTATACGCATTTGATGATAGAATTAAATAGACCCTCGCTCGTGTCGCCCTTTCGTTTGTTCGTCTCTCCTCATGGCAGAGTGCTCCTCTTTACAGTTACTGTATATATACTGCATATTTACTGTGTAAGGTAGAGTTATACTGTATAAGGTAGTATATACATGTAACTGTACTCCTCCTCACCTTGCGAGGAAGAGCGGCGAGCGCGCGTACTTGTGAGCCGGCAAATACGTTCGTTGAGGACGAGCCGCTGACATGCTGACGTTAAGGCCAACTCCTGAGGGGACAGTTATGTTCGAAGCAAGAGAACAATGGTCAGTTGGTAGACGACGCCTGGCGAAAAGGGGAGACTATGAAAAGAGTCTGCCCGGACGGGTCACGAAGCCGTTCGCCCCTGCACGCGCCTTTGCCGTGAAATCCCGTGAGCTTTTGTTCACCGCACCTTTATTTTATTTATTTATTTATTTGTACATACTGCAAGCCCTAATCGGGCCCAAGCAGGAGTGGATACATAGAGGTAACATGAGGCATAATAACGCTCCACAAAAAGAAAAGAAAGAAGGTTGATACACATAGGATACTCCATGATTCACATGTATACATTTTTAGAAAAACCAATCTCTTCCAGACAGTTGACAAAATATTCCAGCGTAGAACAATTCACAGCATTGACTGGCAGCCTATTCCAAAAACTAATGGCCATTGGGAATAAAGAATACTTATGTGCATTGACACGGCTAGCAGGTTGAAAGATGACCTTATTATGGTTTGTCCTGAGTGAGTGTTTAAATGGGTCCTGTAAGTACAGATTGCGCGGTATCTTAAGATGACCGTGATAGAGTAACCTTGCAAGCGCTGTTGAGTCACCCGCACGGTGGAAACGTACAAGCTCCAGACAACCGACCGGCTCTCTAGCGAGGCTTGTTGTTGCGCGAAAGTATTTTCATGACCACTGGATAAAAAAAGACCTTGTTTTTTATCCAGCGTTAAGAAGGGGTTCGTCTCACGAGGTGGTCTCGGATGAGACGGGAGATATTAAACGGAGAGAAATGGAGAGGCAGGGAGACTAGTGCTCGAAGACGAGATCAGGAAGTGTAGACGGAGGTATACTGCTTGGAGCCGACTCTGATCCAGGGATTGAAAACTACGTCGAGAAGTTGGTGTCGATGTGTGCAATATACTAAGGGCTCGTCGGCAAGTAACGCCTATACGTGGATACAGCCCCGTTCTTACAGTGTGGTCGGTTTAGGTGTCGCCCCGACATTTGTAAATAGGTGTCAGTGAGTAATTAAACTGAAGTTTGCCAGAAACTGAGCAACCGGGCCTGTTCAGTCCTTAGACGCGTCGTCTTGATCGTCCGATCAATCGGGATAATCCCTGTCATCCATTTTTTAACTCGGGCGAAACTGCTCAAAGGACCGGAGAGGAGAAGAGATTGTTTTTAGAATTCGTTGGGCGTCCGCGGCTTATAGCGCAGCTGCCTTTGGCATTAATTGTTGATCGTGACGGCATTCTGAAGACGATGCGCACGTTTACTTCAATGTTAAAAAATTATTGGTGGTTTTTAGGGACCCTTTAAGCGCTTTGTCTCGCCTTTAGTCCCGGCAAACGCGTTGAAAGCTACACATAAGGGAAATTATAAAGGAAACAGGAAGGTACGTCCGTAAGTCAGTACGCTTCATGATCCTGAACACTTTCTTGTTTGTTTGTTTGTTTTTTGTCCTTTTAGAACGCGCAGCTCCCTTTACTTGTGATCACGAACGCTCCGGTGTAATACCATAGCGTAATTCTGACACTGTTTAAAAAGCGTAGCTTGGGCACGTCACGGCCCACCACGGCGGCAAGAGATGACAGGTTCTGAGCGTTCCGACAACAGTCACGCGAAAGCGACCGGGTGTCTGATATGCGGCGGGCTTCGGCCTCGTCAAGCGTGTCCTCGGGTCTGCTCCAGGGGAATCCACGGCAGTCGTCTGCAGCCTCATCTCCGCTTGATGCGTTAGGGGCTGTCATGTTGGAATGCCGGATTTGTGGGCCGTCGCGGCAGAGCTATAAATGTGTCGCAGTTTCCGCCATATGCGTGCGCAGAGCTGAGTGGATCCAGCCATTTTAAGAAAGGCGGTCACTTGAAGTAAAACCCGAGAATGGGGAGGGGGTCCTGACTTTGTTCTTTAGTCGTTACTTGCATCGGCAGAAAACCCTATCACAGCGTAAATACTGTTATTTTGCTCGCAGTGGTGCTCATTTGTCGTAATATCTGGAGATGGACTCCAAGCACTGAAGCGAGGTTTAGGATGTGCCGACACGAGCTTCGGGTGGGGGGGGGGGGGGGGAAGTGATCACTCTACCACCTCCTCCTCATCTGCATCCACCACTGGCCTAAATCCTCCTCGAATTGGTCAAAATGAAAAAAAAAAGAAGAAAAAAGAACGAGATCGAGCTGCCATGGGCGCAAGAATGAAAATTATGTGATTGTGCTTCTCACAGCATCAGTGCCATCGGTCTCCCGCATTCTGGGCGTAAAGATTAGCAATAATTAGTTCTTTGAATGCAACATTGCGGCCCGGTCACCATTATCGCCGCAATTGTCAAAAGGCATACGTAGACATGTCCCTGAGCATTTAAAATTGCGTGAAATGTGCAACTGAGTAAAGGTATGCGGCAAAGTTATATGAAGCAGTGTGTTAAAAAAATATTTTGGAGTGGTGCTAGTCTCTGATTTTGTACTTTTTTCTTCGGGCGCGATTCTGCGTGCGTTCGGTAGCATGCTCGTAAAAAAATAAAATCTCGCACGCGATATGCGCTCAAGCGCCAGTAAGCCCTTCACAGATGCCTTACGAAGCCCCGCCGCTGTGGTCTAGTTGCTAAAGTACTCGGCTGCTGACCCGCAGGTCGCGGGTTCAAATACCGGCTGCGGCGGCGGCATTTCCGATGGAGACGGAAATGCCGCCAGATTTGGGTGCACGTTAAAGAACCCCAGGTGGTCAAAATTTCCGGAGCCCTCCACGACGGTGTCTCTCATAATCATATGGTTGTTTTGGGACGTTAAACCCGACATATCAATCAGATGCCTTAGGAAGGAGCACCTTAAATGTAGAAGTGCCGGTTGAGGCTGCAATCACGCTCTCCGAAAATTGGCGCCAATACTCGGAAAGTTTCTTATTGGTCTTTTAGCGCCATCTTTTGCCGCAATGGCAAACGATACGTCACCAGCATACATTTTGTGTTCTCGCCTTCGCTTGTCCAAATTACGTATTAAAAGCGCTCACGTCGTGTTTACAAAACGTATAGCCGGGCGTCTTTCTTGTTATGTTGTTGTTGGGCAGCCGCGGACATACAAAAAGCAAATATAACAATAAAAAAAGCAATGCAGAAACTGATCCATAACCGCTTGAGCCAAGCTCTCAAAGATGGCCGGCTGGGTTCGGTGAATTGGTTCGCGCAAGCGACCGCGTGTTTCCGCTGTTTACCGCGGGTAGTATTTATTTTTTCGAGCTTTTTTTAGTGCTGGGCAGAGCGATGGAACGAGCTCGAAGGAACTACGCCGACGAGAGCGCGAGGCTAGCAGCCCGTCGCCTGTACCAAACCGTAGATTGAATGCTGCTGTATGTCATCCTAAACACTTCTCGGGTAACGAAGAATGAAACACAACATGGCTGCGTCTCTCAGTACACAGGAAGAGCAGGTAAAGCCGTCGCTTTCTCTCTAAATGCCGTTAAACTGGGCGGTTCCGTATTGCGCACCGAACTGGCCGCCTGGGATATGCCGCTGCTTGTCATTCGCTGCCTTGTTTTCAGTTCGCAAATTGAGAAATTGAGTTATCATGACACCGAAACCACTCGAGGTATCAGCGATCAACCACCTGCCGTGTATGTCGTCTTCTTATCTTTAGTAAGGTTACTGCGATTTGGTCGCGTAGAAGAATTGATTGTTCTCACGTCGCAGTCGACAGCATCGCTTGCGAGTGGACGGAAGAAGTAGAAGTGCGGCTACCTTGCTAGCCTGACTTCGTCCATGTTTTGTGACATGTTCGTTCGATGCGATCATCATATCTGTTATGGTTACTTCCTGTTCCAGACCGCAGGTGACGCCTCGGGACACTTGAAGTTATTATGTTCGTCGAGATGACAAGTTTGGACCCCGTCCTCATTTAAGGTTTTTACGTTGTATTATTGTCGCTATTGCGTGTATCCGACTGTTATATGGCACTCTATGCCTCAAAATGCGAACCACTACATTCGGGTTTAGCCCATCAACCTAGTTTGTTAAGCTCCTCAAACTGAAAGTAACTTACAATTGCAACCAGCGCAAAACGGAACTGGTCATATTGATTGTGTCGGATTATATAAACTTTGCATGTTGGCCCCTTGAGACTTGGCACTCAGATTGCCCGTTATGGTTTGTGCGCAGAAAACATCCAACATTTGCAAACGACTGATGTTTAGATACTGCAGGGCCAAGAAGTAGTTCCATTGACATTGTTAGGCTTGTCTGGTGTGTGTCAGTTGCCTAGCTTTTTGTAGGCTGCCCCCCCCCCCCCCTCCTCCTCAACACCATTAGATTGGCTGTATGTGTGGCCTCAGTGCATTGGGGGGTCAAAGAGGATTGTGTGGAAAGACCCGGAGCAACTTGCAGGCATGCACACTGTGGCATGTATGGTGTGCATAGGCTAGCAGCATCTACCTGAACATTGGCCTTTCAAAGAGTTTCATGCGATGAGAACTGAAAACATGGGTTCGAGTCAACAGCACCTGCTAAAACATGCTTTTAATATATAAGCACTAAGTTCCCACAAATGTTTGTTAAGAACACATTGCTGAAAGGGCACTCGAACATTTCATGAAAACCAAAATAATGCTAGACCTTTCAGTATGTCAAAGAATATTTGAAGAGAGCTTGTCAGAACGTGTAATAAAGAGTAATAATAATAACAATCCCAATAGCCACACTGTGATTACTCATAAGTAATCTTTTGAAGTTGTTTAAACAAAGATGCCCGACAGTGACAGTGGAATGGTGAAAGGAAAAGTGGGATGAGTTTGCTTGCGCTTTCCTAAAAGATTAGAATAGGGAAGTATTTGTAATGGCCAAATCACTGTCAATTCTCTTAGTCATCACATTACTGCCATCACGTAAGGGAGAGGGTACTGAAGAGTTTCAAAAGCCTAGGAAAGAGTATGTTATATGTTTTACGAGTTTGTAGGCGCTTTGTTGAATGCAGCAAAGCAGTGTTTGACTTGCATGTTCACTGTAGCATTGTCTGCATTTGTGAAGCGTTTTATTTTAACCATGTTAATCGGGCATTTCACTGTTTCTTTAATGGCAGCAGCTATTTTAGAGCCATATGTACATTATTCAATGTCCTCCTCGAACTTCTATTGAAGGGAAGTGCTTGAGCAGCTCCAATTCTTGTGTCGCCCACTGGCACTGTTGATTGTTTGCATGTCTTGCTCAGGTTACTTTTCTAAGGTCTCGCTACCTGTGGTTTGATGCCACCTCGAAGTTACTTTAGAGTGGTAGATTTTTAATGAGCCTCATAAAAGCTATGCCTTCTCTTTTTGACAGCTGGTGAAGGAATTTATGAAAGTGGTGAATGAGCAGAGGTTGAGTCACAGTGCAGGGCCCCTGACGTGGAACGCTGCTGTCAAATTCATGATGGCCCGGAAGTTTGACGTTCGCCGAGCCCTATCCCTGTACGAAGCTCACGAGGTACTTAGTCTTTTTGCATGTATTCATTCGAGACTCGAGTGGCATCTCACTGAGTACACTTTCGTTCTTGTTTCTTTTTCTTTTCCTCCACTCACAGATGACTCGATATCGAGAAGGGCTGTGCACTTTTGACCCTACAACTGATCCTTTAAAAGGGGAACTGGAAACTGGGAAGTTCACAGTCTTGGTGAGCTTGTCACTGTCTTTTGCCTACTTCCTGTTGTTTGTATCTTCTTGAATCGTTGCAAAGCATAGAGTATTGCCGTCGTGACTGAACGATGGTGATATGACGTAAATGGCTTTTCTTCCGTCTCAACACTATCGTGCTGCCTGCAGCCGACACGAGACAGTTCCGGAGCTGCCATCACCATGTTCACAGCGAGCAAGCACTGGCCATTGCAGAGTTCGCACAAGGTCACCCTGCAAGGTGTTGTCTACCAGCTAGATGTGGCCTTGGAGAGGTGAGTGTTTTTCACTGACCAAAGGCAAAGATTAGCACCAACATGTAAAAGCACCAACATCTTAAGCAGTAGCCTCTAATGATGTTATTATATATCACTCTCATTGCACCAAGATGTAGGAGCTGCACTGAAGTCTTAAGCAGTTGCCTCTAATGATGTTAATATATCTCACTCTCAGGTGGTCCGAGGAAATTGTGTGCAAATGTAGTAGCTCTCATGTTCAGAGAAGTTATCAAACCATCACATTTGTTTTCAATTGGACCCCAAAAACCATATAAATTCTTTCAGCATATTCAAATACTGCAGCTGTACATATCTTTGTTTGCATAAATAAGGTTTCTATATACTGTACAGGTTGACAGATATTGGCGTTGCTTCTTGGGTTATGTCTCACTATTTTCAGTCTGTTTCCCTCTGATCAGCAGATGGTTCCTTTGCATCTTTCCATTCTTTTTTTCTTTTGTAACTATGTGCAGCCTCGAAAGCCAGAGGTGCGGGATAGTGTTCATATACAACATGACCGGCTCAAAGTACCAGAACTTTGACTACGAGCTCAGCCAAAAAATATTGAATCTTCTCAAGGTGAGGGCCTTGTGCATAGCACTGCCGCTTTCTCCCTTTTTTTTTGGAAACTTACATCCAGTAATGTTTGCAGCAATTTTGCTGCACAATATTCATTTCCTCCATTTGACCTAAGAACTGTTCTTCACTTGTGTGCATTGGCAACATCACAAAAAAGCTCGGACGGGTGGATCATAGGTAGTACTGTGGCCTCTAAGATGAGCCTAGGGCGCACCATTCTTCCGGCCGTCCCACTTGCACGCTGAACTTGTAATCGGAGAAAGCGGAATGAGTACTCCCACCGCCACATTGCGATGCACGCCCCATGGCTTGCTTTTCCTGACCCGAACACGCACGGAGGGCGAAAGCTTGCCAATCCCAGCCTCTGTGCATCCGTAATGAAAAATTGCAGCACACATGTGCCCACTTATGGCGAAGTGTCGCTTACTGGTGCAATCTCGCAATTCCCTCTACGATTATGACGGATACTTTGAAGTGCGGGGAGAGGCACATCACCACAAGACCCTTTGGTGATGCCATATGCTTCATTTTACTATGCACTGGTAATTTTCTCTCGGGGAGAGTCTGTAGCAAAAAACACGCACGGAATAGACATCAATGGTGATAGCTCACCACGCCTGTTGTATTGTGGCTGTTTCTTTCTTTCTTCTTGCTAGAAACCATTCAGAGCTCGTGTCTATTCTGGGTCTTCGCTCTATGAATCGTCCCTGATGCCCGATTCGCTACAATACTTTCTTTATTTGTGCAGTCATGCTTAGTTTTAAAAAAAAAAAAACAAGAACGAGATTTTTCTTAGCAGGTTCAAGCAGTGGTCTATTTTCATTCAGCAATTATCATTTGCATGTTTTAAATCTGAATTTATGTTTTCTTTATATGAAGATCAAATAATTCTGCCAGTTTTGTTGTATATCATTGGTATCTGTCATTTACTTTGCCACTTTAACATAGGACGAAGGAAGGTAAGAGGCAACCTTAATATTGTGTTCTAAATACTGCTATGCTAAACAACCTGCAATGCATAAGGTTTTTGACATTATGCATGGCATTCAGGTGAACATAGTAACCTATTTAGTTGAGGTGCTGGGCAAGCAAGAAAGAAGTTTGATTCACCGATGCCACAGCCGGGATAGGAGAGAGGGAGCAGACCGAATTTCTTGAATATACATGACACTTTATTTACAAAGACAAAAGCCACAGCCTTGATTTCCGGCATTCTCGCCTCCTGCAAAAAAAAAAAGAAAAGGCCTATGGCCTCCATAAAATTGTAGTGACACACTAAATAATACCACTTGGGGTGCTTGAATGTGTGGCCAAACGTTGCTACGCAAGCCCTTAGCTGTTGCATGCATGTAAATGCGGCCCCGGAAAAAAAGAAAATATAAAAAAAACGAAAAAAAAAGAAAGAGGGGAGCGATGAGATAGGCTAAGTTTATCCGCATATGCCTTTATATATGTACACGTCCCACCGGCTTACCAGAAAAAAAAATACAAGCAAACAAAGAATGGTCTTTCAGTGTTACGAATGCAAAAAAAAAAAACGGAGGAGTTAGCCTACATACTGTAACAGCTTTGTTGTAAGAATTTTGCTTGAGGTGTGAGAGACAAAGCTGTCTTCTAGCGCAGTGGTATATACTAGCACTTATGATGGTTGAGCAGAAGAGAGCTGTACTGTAATGTAGCTGCCGCAGTACTTTCGTGGTTGCGTGGAAATGATTAAAAAAAGCATACCTACGCGTTGTCATATTTCGTGACAACTTGGTTGGGCAAGCTTGCATGCGACCTACATTAAATATTTTGCACTAGCATTTTCTCTTGCCCAAATCAGCTTTTGAGTGACAACTAAAGTTGCATGCAAAAGCAAGGAGTAACTTTTTATAAACGTGCCTGAACTTCTTTGTAGCTGTAACAAGGCAATGATCGTTGACTGCGTGTTTATAGCGTGTCTCAAATAGGAACAACGTGCCAACACAGTCGATGTTGTGACTGAAACGACTGAAATGGTATGTTGTGCCTGGCAGACGAGCGCCGCTCGACTCATGGAGAAAGATCGCCATCTCACGGCACATTCGGGAGGTGACAAAATTACACTTCTCCACTAGGTGACGCGCCGAATGGGACAGCCCTAACAATGGCGTGCTGCCGGCTAATCTCGGAGGCCATGGTAGTGCATACAATTTGGCTATATAGTAGTAGGACAAACACTTTGTGTTTAAGCTCTTTTTTTTTTTTTCACACTGACATACTGAACGATAAGACGTTGTGCACTGCAGAGACTAGAACGCTCACACAGTGTGTATTCACGACTAGGAAATAGTGTGCACCACATGAGATTCAGAAGTAAGGATGTGTTAATTATACACTTTTCCATAACATTTTTCTACAACTTGCGGCTAAAGCAATGATGAAAACATAAACGTTTACGTATCTAAATCCACTCACCATTAGCAGAGTGGTATGTTAGCGCAACCTCACTCTTCGCAGAACCTTTTGTATTTAGAATTAAAACATTGTTTGCCACGTGCAAGAAGCAAGAAATATGTACTGCAGGGAACTTGTGGCTTGAAGCGGAATTATTTCCATCTGCTGCATTCCTAACGTATGCTAATGAGATTTAGTTAATAATAGATATAGATAATATTAATAAGTACAAAATGATTCAGTTCTTTATCCATATTCAGATTATATCCATAATCTTTTTTCTCTTTTCTTTATTGTATCTTCTTGTACTTGCCCGTGGAATTTCGTATCTGCCCTATACACACTTTATAGCCTGAATATATTATATACTCATGTACTTGCCATTTTGCTCATGACTAACTTCCTGTACCACCCTGCTAAAATCAATGAATGGTGATTGCAGTACCTGTAAATAATAAATAAATGAGTATACTTAGCTAGCTATGTTATCTGCTCAGTATGTAAAGGAACAGGAGAGAAGACCTTTGCTGCTTCGACTGCACATTTACTGTGACGTGTGTCCTGATGCTTTGCAGGGCGCCTACCCAGCAAGGTTGAAGAAAGTCTTGATTGTTAATGCGCCATTGTGGTTCAAGGCACCATTCCGAATACTTCGCCTTTTTGTCAGGGAAAAGCTCAGGGACAGGGTGAGTTCAAGTGCTCTGGACATCAGAGATAGTGGACCGTTTTTCATCATTGTGGAAATAAGCTTACATTGGCCTGGACTTAGCAAAATAAAAATACTTCCTTTTAAAACAGCTTCTTTGTCCAAGGAAGAGCTGCAATCTCTTTTGAAGTTGCCTACCATCACACTGTGGGAAATTCTGATGTGTAAAATTTTACTTCTGCTATTATGGGATTTTCCAAGTTGTTAACACTGTGCAATAGCAGAACATATTCTTAGGCTAGTTGGCTATCCATGAACCCTGAGCACAGAAAGGAGAATAAAGTTCAATGAACTTACAATAATTTGTAAACTGAATTAGACAGCTTGTTCGTTTTACAGCCTGGTTGTCACAAAGCTGCAATCAAACATAGGTTGCAACTGAGAATCCTATTTTAGGCCATGCCAGCCATCGGGTAGTAGGTGACAAGGGAAGGCGGGGTGTTGATATCATACTGGGGGGAACATAATACTGCCACGCAGGCTGCACGTTGTGAACCCTGCTATAGATAGTCAGTCTTCAAGAGTATTATAATTGTATGCTTGCCTATCATATATGGCTTCAATTTTTAGATAACTGCTCACTGAACGTGTTCCTGCTGGGTGCATCCAGATAAGATCGAAGGCGAGGTCCTGTTCACCATTCCCCAAAACTGACATGTCTACATAATTTAATGTAATCTCCCTCTTTGTCACTCTCTTGTAATCAGCCACTGCTTATGTCACGTGGGAAGTTTCCATAGACCAAAACAGGCAGCACTCGGTGCATTTTTGTCATATTCTCGCTTACAAAAGCCATGTTCTCTCTATATCTGACTAACTCGTTAATAAGGGTCCCTAGCATTTGACTGCATTATTACTTAATTTCATTATTCTTTTGTGTCCCTTCAACTTGGTATTCGTATGCTTTTGTTCCCGTTGATCTTGCAGAGGAATTCCCAAGGCAGATGTACATCTTGTGTTTTGGAAAGCTTTCTCTTTCTCTCTTCATTCTGGATTTGTCTTCTGCAGGTGACTACAGTTAGCCTGGAACAGCTAGGTGCACACATTCCATACACTTCATTGCCTCGAGAGCTTGGAGGAAGCCTGGCTATCAACCACAAAGCCTGGCTGCTTCATTGTCTCAAGTCCATGGCCAACAGGTAGCACAAAACAACCCACAGATGCCTTTCGTCATACATTGTGGAGGGCTCCTTGGACGGCGATGCCATATTGTGATTGGCCACCCACTTGGAGCAGTCGACTCAATGATGGACATATCCTTGCAGGTACAACTTATCGGGCGAGGTACCAGTGCCACCGGCTGTGCTTCCGGTCAATCCTGCTGAACCAGTTGAAAACGACGTTGTGGCTGGAGAAGTGACCGAGGAAGAGGAGGAAGAAGAGGCCTCTTCTGCGGCACAGCCAGCAGCCATTGAAACACAAAACTCCGTCCAAGAGAAGCAGAACTGTGAAGAACGTGAGAAGGAGGTTGAAGTGATCAAGGAGCCCGTGACAACCACCGCAGCAAAGGTGGGTAATGTGCGCACAGGAAGAGCAAGGTCTCGCCTGTTTCTTTTATCATTAGCTTCTTTCAAACTGTGGGGAATAACGTGCATAGTTTGATTGGGTACTTGTGTTTGAAATACTGGTGTGGCTTGAGGAGGCCAAGTTCCCCTTTGCATCCTCTCGCCGATCGATGCCCATGGTGTTGCGCTTCTAAGCTTGAGAATGTGGGTTCGATTCACGGCCAAGCTGATCATATTTCATTGGTGAAATGCAGAAGCACCCACTTAAAGAATTTAAGTGCACGTTAAGAAAAAAAAAAAAACTAGTGAACAGAATTACTCTCAAGTCCCTGTCCATGACACACCTCATAATCGTGTTATGATTCTGGCTCTAAAGCACTGGTAGTTATTATAATTATTTAGTCAGGAGAACACAATGAAAAAGAAAGGAAAACTAGTGGTGGAGTGCACAGTGTTGTTAGAACAGCTGTTTTACTTTCATTTTCTTAATTGGGCCACATGCTTTTCAATAGAAGAATACAAAAAGCTAGAAGAACGGAAACATTCTAAAGGACGCGCAGATACACGAGGTTGGCCGACATCACTGAATCTGGTGACTTCTCCAAATGTGTGTTCATACGCAGGAAGAACCTGCTGAGCAGACAAGGGTTGCCGCAGCTTCACCTGAACTTGTCACAGAAGAGGAAGAAGACGAGAAGTGCCCTTCCTCGTCGTCTGTGTCCTCTTCGTCTCAGTGGGACGAAGGTACTGCCAATGGTGAACACAAGGATGGTGCTGTCACGTTGGAGGAGTTTATCAGCCAACTTCAAGTAAGCAGGAATGCCGCAGCCAGCGTGTGAAATGCTGTGTACTGTATATGCCTACGTTAGGACTACGTATGTGGTTTCTCGTGTATTATGAGAATACTCTGCGAAGCACATGAATTCAGTGCGCTATGTCTGTGTGACCTGGCAGCAACAATGCAGCATGTGCCTCTTTTTATGTTACTGTAATGACTAATATTAATGAGAACTAGCAGACAATAATACCAGGGAAAGCATGGGGGTTGTTGTTAGAAGTAACTGCCATTTAAATGTAAAGAAAGAAAAGTGGATGAAAAAATTACTAGCCATCGACAGGATCCGCACCTGCAACCTTTGAATGACGCGTTCGATGCTCTACCACTGAGCTGCAGTGGTGGTCTTTCCTCCATCCGCATTGTAGGGTACATATGTGCAGTTAAACATGGGAGCTTCAGTTGCAGTGTCACATACTACTTGACGCGACAAGCAATAAGAGTGTCCCACAGTCGCTGCAGTGGCATCAGGTGGTGCTGACTGAAACTCTCAGGCCATCATAACGCCGTGGATGTCACAATCACTGGGCTAGTAACGACGAGCGGTACTTTTGTTTTGAGCGCGATGTCAAAAATATGGCAGGAGTTCTTAAAGAACGATTCTTTTGCGGCCCACACCTACAGTCAAACCGACCAGCAGCATATTGGTGGCTGAGCGACCTGTTGGCGAGCATCTCAATGGCGAAAAATTTACTGGAATATCTATGTGGTGGTAGAAAACGTGTCTCAAATGAAGACATAGGTGTTGTGGTGCAGCCATGCGCTGTGGATGTCACGAGCTAACAAGAAATGGCCGAGTTGGTAGCGGAATCTCACGAAAATCCTTAACAATTTCCTTTTCCTTAGGTGGTAGTACTCGCAAAAATTTTGTTGTAGCAGGAGTATCCAGAAAAAGTATTCGTTGTGACGAGACATTTTCTACATTGTTTTTATGGGTGGCTTACAGGGAAACGAAAATTATTCTTTGTAGCGGAAATTTTGTTGTAGCAAACTTCGTTACAGTGGGATTTGACTGTGTAGTGGATGGGCTCTTTGTGCTTGGTTTACACATACACACTAAAGACACTTGACGCCACCATTGATCGTACCATGCGCCTTCTAGTCGGGTATCTAATAAACATGGCGGACTAAAAGAGGCTGTACTCCTCCACTAGGTCCTGGCTTTTGTAAGTAAGATTGCATTTGCCACATGCTATCTACAGTTTCTTAAATCATAATTCGATCAGACTGACATCCTTTTATGCAAAATGCATATCGGAGGTACCCATTCGGACCTCCACTGAAAGACTTATGCAAAGTGGCATTTTTGACACCCTTGCTGAACTCACAGAAGCCCATCTTGCATTGCGGTATAACAGACTTTCTAACAATATGACAGGCCGACACATTCTACAAATACTTTTTCACTCTGGCACCTATCACCTAAGGTAAATTGCCATTCCACACCACTTACAAGATAACCTCTATATTCCCTCAATTTGCTAAACATGCACTCTGTGCACCGCAAATGGCGCTACAGGCAGCATGCAAAGTCTCTCAAAAAAGAGTATCCTCCTCATATCGTGGGCTTTATGTTGACGCTGCCAATTACAGGGACAAAAATCATTATGCAGTATCAGTCATATCACTCTCGCGGCCAGGTTGCTTTGGCGGCCTCCACTGCTGCGTTTTCGAAGGAGGAGGCAGAAGAGGCGGTCATAGCCCTGGCCCTCACCATTCCTGATTCATCTGTTGCTGTGACTCCAAAACAGTCATATATAATTTATGAACAGGCAGGGTTTCTAAGCTGACCCTTTCTCTGCTTTTGGCCCATCCCCTAGAGGCCTAGATCAAGTTTTAGCTCTAATTACAATCGGGACTCCCGTGCATGTGAGCCTTGCCGGAAACGAGGCGACTCATGCCAGTGCCTAAAGATTTACTGTCCATACACAAGCATCTGATGTGTCACAGCTCACTATGGAGGAGGGACCGTTTATAGTGCAGCATCTGGCTATTTCACTCCATGAAATTTGCACACATTACCGATTAGAATGTTAATTCAACCTTTCCGCGACTTACGCACAAATCTCCACGTTGATGCGAAATTCTGCGGTGACAGCTGCAGACTCACGTGTTTTCTTCCCCCTACCAGTCGCCGACCTTTATTCGGACTCGACGAGAACCGCCAAAAAGTCCGAATAATTGGAAGTCAGAAAAGACGGATTCACAAAAAACGGCACTGTCGAAGTTGGCGAACTGTGCAAACGTACCCCCCCCCCCCCCCCCCCCCACGTCGACTCCGCTAGAACGAAGGTCGTCCAAAATGTCCGCTGCTGCGGTAGGCGGACTCTGAACCGCAGAGTTCTGGCCTGTGGCACTGCCCTTCTCAATCCCAGTAATAAATCCTGTCAGGCGGAAGCAGTTGTGTATCGTTTCCCGAGTCACTAACTTCTAGGCATCGGAAAACATGCTGATGGCCTTCAGAACATCTACGACGTAGTTTTTGTTACTGTCGTCGCATAACAGCATACGATTCAGGAGGCACGATTGGTAATGAACTTTCAAGTTTTTTATCACGCACTGGTCCATGGGCTGCACCACGCTTGTCGTGTTAGGCAGCAAAAACTCCACTGTCTTAGCCTTCAAGTTGTCGATATGCCCATGGACACCGCAGTTGTCGACAAACATCAGCACCGTGCGATTTTGATGCTTGTACCGGCGGTCAAGCTTGTGAAGGTGCTGTTTGAAGAGATTTTGCATAATCCACACCTTCAAATTTGCTTCATACCTCATAGTGAGTGATTTGACGCCTTTAGAACATCTTAGATTTTTTCATTTACCTATCATGAAGAGCGGAAGTTTCTCCGTCCTCATCATGTTGCCTCCTACAACAACTGTCAGTCGCTCCTTGCTATGCTTCCCCCCATGACAGGGTTCGCCAGACAAAGCTAGCGTCTTGTCGGGCAGTATCTTATAGAAAAGTCCAGTCTCGTCACAATTAGTTTTCTGGTGGATACTGGCACAGCAGTGCGCACAGCTTGTCGGCGCGGTAGTTGGTCACGAGCGTTTGGTCGACAGAACCACTCTCGCCGCATATTTGCTTGAAGGCCAGTTCGTACCTTTTCTTAAAGTTGCACAACCAGCCATCACTGAACTTGCAGCCAGTAATACCCATGCGCAGGGCGAGATTCTCTGCTTTCTGTCTCAGCAGACCGCCAGACACGGGTATTTTCCTAGCCACCGTGGCACTCAACCACATGTTCAGCGCCTCTTAAAGCTGCAGGTGGCTGCCGTCCCGGAAATTTTTCTGCGTACTCGCAGATGCTTTCTCAGCTGCCTCCAGGATCTTGGCCTTCTGCTTGAGGTAGTCCGAGACGGTTTGCTTGGAAATGGAAAATTCCCGAGTAACTTCAGACTGAGGTCGGCCGCCTTCTACCTGCCGAATTATCTCAGCTTTCTTCACCATCATGTGAGCGTCTTGTAGCTCCCCTGTTGGCCGCATTTCTTCACTCCCGACTGCGCAGCAACGGGTAATGTCGGAGCCATTTCATCACACCACGGAACATGCAAGAGAGCGAGAGCACAGAGAACAATACTAACCAGGCCTACCCGTAAAAACAACCGACTGACACCACTGACACGCTTACACAAACGCCAAACCACAGAACACCTATGTGTTAGAAAAATAGGCAGTGAATAATCATTGCAGTCAAATCTGCATAATGAAATTTTCTACGATGTTTATTCACAAAGTAAGGGCCATTTCTTAATCTTTAAGTATTTGCACGTCAGATCGAAGAGTTATGTGCACAGCACAATCTGCTACTTCTCAGCGAAAATACTGAAGTGATTGTTCTGGCTCAGTAGTCATCTGCTTGACGGGGAACGCAGACAAAAATTTTGGCGAATGTTGTTGTGGGGTGCACACTGTATTTACATTTTTGCATGCTAAAGAATCAATAGCTTATTTCATTTACGAGGAGCTGTGCACAGTGCATGAACCAACTGTGAAGAGTTAAACAAGTGTCGAAACACGGTGTTGAGACTTCTGAAATGGCTGCACAAATGTGTACAACAAAGAGTGGAGCACCACGCCAAGCATCCAGACCAACCAAACTGTTCAAGTGGACAGGATATTGCAATAGATTGAGTATTAACAGTTACTGGTCTGTAAGACAAAGTTCCTCTTGTTAGCCTTGCTACAATTTACACAATTGTAGCCAATATGCCCAGATATCACAAAGCTAGGTTCCAAAAATGCTTACCGACCAACTCAAACACTAAAGGACATCAAGTGGATGAGCGTTTTTGGACTGCTACCGATAAAACAGGGATGATTTGTTTTCGCACACTGTTGCACAGGTGACGATGCTTCACAGTGTACGCAATTGCAGAAACAACACAAGAGTGCTACACTTCTTTCGCAAAAACTGAAAAAAAAATTAAGCAATTAGCTTACTGCGGTTAGAAAATAATGGCTACCATTTTCAATGTCAAAAAGGGCATTTTTAGTGTTTAATTTCATAAAATGTGGCCACACTTACAGCTGACATATACTGTGAAACACTCGTTACAGTAATAAGTACAGTAAACATTGATGACGTCACAAATTCTCATCCAGATCTGCCTCCTACATGACAACCTGCATCCTTGCACCACAATCAGAACCAATAGGAAGACCAAATATTTTGGTAAAGAACACTAATTGCTCGCCCTACTGCCCTGTGCCAGCACTGTGTGATTATTTCCTCTTCTTTCACTCGAAACAATGGCTCAGGGTATGATTTGAAGACAGTGAGAAATTCAAGATGACCGTTCGCAACAGGTTCAATCACCAACCGGCGATCTTTTCTTCAGATTGACTAAAGAAAGTACCGCGACAGTACGAAAAGCACTAAGAAGTTAGCAGTGATTCTGTAGAAAAGTGAAGTAGGTTTTTGCTGAACTAAGCCTACCAATAAAAGCTTTTGCTAATGAATATTTACTTGCTGGGAACCAAATGGCCCTTACTTTTTGAATGACCTTCAAAGTTTTTATGCTTCGCATTGACAGATAAATAAATGAGTTTTCTTTGTGCCAATGGTGCATAGTCATGAAAGACACTGCTCAAATGATGGACAACGGCAGAAGCTGAATCCACATTTTTATTCTTCACTACTTCCTAACTGTCTGCCTCACTGTTAACACGGGTATCATGCAAAAGTAGTCCTTCTGGCTACATATTTCACAGCAATATCAAGGAAATAGCTGTTAGTAGACATTCGAATTATCAACATGTACAAACACTGGCCAACTTTTATACCCACTGAGAGCATTTTATGTACTGCTAAACCCCACAGCGAACAGACTCCGTAAGTGGCTTGGCATGGCCGCTCGGTTGGCTAAAACAAAAGAAAAACGAGTCGCCAAACATAGCCTTCAAGATCGGCAATGGCGATTTCTGCGTGCATTTTTAAACTGGCCTGACGTCCATCCATAGCTAGTGCAGCATATCAGTGCTGGCAACCTAGCAAACGTATTGTATAACGTCGCTATCAGTGTGTCATGGTGTACGGCGGCGCATCTGTTCAGTCAAACGGAGTCCAAATTATCGAACGGCGCACAGCGGGGCGCCCGAATTTTCGGCCATGAGTTTATATTAGGTTCAATGAGGCGAGTGGCGGTGCCAGGAAGATGTCCGATTAAACGGGCATGTCCGAATTTTCGGCGTCCGAATAAAAGGTCGGCGACTGTTTATCCTTCACCGTATTCATCCTTCTAGTTAATCTTCCCCCTCTTGTAAATTTTGCGCTGTTCTAGGCTTGTGCGAATATTTGAATTCACTTTGAAATGAATATAAGTTTTTTAAATGTTGTAGTATTCGAGATGAACGAATGGACATAAAATCACATGCAGCTCTTGGTAAGGGTAGTTTCTCTGCAGTTAAAGAGTTCTATGCCGTGAGTACACCTAGCCAGAAGAAATCTGCACTTCCGCAAAGCCCTGCTTGAAGGTTAATGAACAGATTACTTTTGCATCACTTCATCATTTTTTAAGTTTAAAAGATTGTGATAGACCTTTGTATGTTTGTGAACAGTGGTAGGCGCCGTCTCGCGGGAGGCTCCCCAATGCGCTGTGCTCAGCTTTGCAGCTGAGTGCCAGTTGTCACCTGATCATAAAGAGCTGTGGTGAGCTTTGGGCTGGGCGGAACCAGCGCTCCACAACGTCACGACAGTATGTCGACGACGCCTACTGCTGTTCACAAACATGGAATGAAATGGGTCTATACTGGCCTATACGCACTAATCGTGGTAAATTTTAAGACTTAACGTATTTTAGAGGTTATTACTTGCATTCTACCGAATGTAAAATCCTGCGAATATTCAAAGCTGCTTCCACTTCCCTTTCAACCAAAAATGACGACATTCGCATATGCCTTGTTTCAATTTTTTAGATACATATATTGCGCAAGCTAGTTGGGTCATGACAAATAGGCTAATTTTTCTTTATAATATGTTATATACATCATTTGAATTCAATTCGAGATTACCGAGCCGAATCACTGTCTGCTTTGAACCTAGAATTTACTATTTGCACACGCCTAGCCGCTTTCACAGCAGACTTAAAGCACGTCATGTGGCGCTGCCTTAACAGCCTCTTCCTTTTTGCTGAAATGCCTAATTCCTAATTAGGAGCAGTGGAAGGCTGCCTTGTGCAGCTTGAGGCCTGATATTCGGGAGGCCATACTGGAGTGGGCTGAGAGGGTAGAAGAGGTATACTTGAAGTAGTTCCTCCTCTCCCCCCTTCTGTCCCATTGCTCCCTTTTATTTATCCAGAGACAAATAAAGCTGCTCATTCATTCATTCATTCAAAGCAAATGCTTTGTTTGCATCAGTTATTGGCTGCCTGCCATATTATATATAGTATTACTACAAGTTATTCTTTTGATAGTAGAGGTTCTCACCATCTTGGAGTCTAAAGTAGCTTAGTTTCATCCACTGATGAACGAGGTACAGACTGGAATAGGCGCTTTTTTTTTTTTAGGGGCGAAGGGGAAGAGTGCTAAATTGTGTATGTAGCTTATCACTTCATCCTTGTCTCGAAAACATGTCCACTAAGATTACAGCACCAGCCTTTTACCTCGCACGAAATTTGAGCAGGTTCTTTATAACTTTTATAGTTTGTAAGCGATGAATGATGAATATCTTCAGTTTGTTAGCTCATTTATATCTCAGAAGTAAAATGATACACAATTACTGTTCTCATTAGTGGCTGTTTTCTCATGGATCTCGCAGCTTTGAACTTTGGCAGTTGCTCGATAAGTATCTGTTATTATGCCGAGCGGACATGCATGAGTTTTTATCAAGTGCTCTCCTGAAGCCAGACATTGGGATCCTTCTTATGTTGCCTCTTAAAATTACATACGTATAAATATTTATAATTACAGTGAATAGTGGAACAAATTAAAAACCACTGTTAAGTGCTACATAAAGTTTACATGTACTTGTTGTTCTGCTTTCTAGCTCCAGTGTTGCTGTAAGTGAGACATGTTAAAAGCACAACTGCAAATTTTTTATTATGTAACACAGCGCTTCCTGTAGACTCAAATTCTGTAGTTTACAATAGCGTCAAAATAACGGCTCCAGACAGGCTTCTGCACCCTTACTTTCAGCAATTGTGCCTAAGCAACTTAGTTGTGGCTCCTGCATACAAGATAAATTTGTTTTACACTCACAGTGCTTCTTTTTTTGTAACAAAATTGCAAACTTCTGCCTTCATTTTTTGCGTACTGCCTTCATTTTTTGCGTGCACTGTCTTCTTCCAAAAAGATAAACTTATTCTACTGGTGACACTGCTGTTTCTTTTTGCATGCAGATTAGCACATGGCATTACTGCATTGTCTTTTATACCAACTGTTCTGGTGATTTTAAATAAGTAAAACAGATTTCTGATAATTAGCTTTCTGTCACTATCCCCCAGGAACAACTGAAAATGACTTTTTCATTTCATACTTCATTTATAGGTCAAAGGTCGTCGTGGCTTGTATCAGCAATATTCTGAATTAAAAGCAAAAAGTCCCGAGGGCACCTTTGTCACCGCAAGGTAAGCAACATTTTCTCAAAAATCTTTCTGGCAGGCAAGGGCATAAGGGTGACTCTGCAGCGGATGCAGTAATCAATGAAAGAAGCCTCACTTCAGCATGAATAATTCTCATTCTCTATTGTTTGCCTACACTGTTAATCTTTGGTTTCTTTGATCACTTCGTTAAATTTTCAATTAATCACTATTTCTGTTGTAATGATGCCTTGGCGTGGTGAGCAGGGCAGACAATAGGACAAGTGAGAAAAACAAGTGACGTGAACATCTGAATCAATTACTATCGTCTTTTTAGTAGTAAAATGAAGCCTACAACTTCGTTCATGAGACCACTTGCTCTTGCCCTAAAAATCTGAGATTTCATCTTTTATTTATGCTTTTTCGTGATGGTGATAGATAAACTGGTTATTCTCCGAGTACAAAGCAGTAATGTGCAGCATGTCTACAGACAAACAAACAATGTGGCTAAGGCAGTGGTATCATCTGATACATTCATTAGACAATCACCAAGTCAAATCTGATGAGATCAAAAAAAAGGTGTCCACATTGACCAACTGTCGAATTGTTGAGATCATCAAGAAAACAGTAAAGAAATGTCTTTTACATGAGTATACTTTTATTTTATTCCTGAATATGTGAATCTTATTGTCATGTTGCAAAAGAGCAGTGTAAAACCTGCAAGTGTCGTCACTACTACCGTATTTACTCGATTCTACCGCGCCCTCGATTGTAACGCGCACCCGATTTCCACCGCGAAAAAAAACAAAAAACATAAGACATCAATTGCAATGCACACCCATTTTTCTCGCTGGTCCGCACAATCACACCACTCGAAAAAACGACTCCTTTCGGGAGCGTCTTCCATTTAAATATGAGGTACGGGCGAAGCTTGTGCCCATCTGACGTGTAACAGAGCATTGCTGTCACTGTAGTTTTACCGTGGACCGATGTCAGCACGGGAACTTGCTTCGCCCCCTTCTTCTCGACGGTTGTGGTACCACGCCAGGCATGTCGAAGTAAAGAGGCGTCCGATCGGCATTCCCGATTTGCCCAAGCAGGTAGCCGTTGTTGCGCCGCAAGTTTAGGACGAACCTCTGAAAACGGTGAAGCTTTTCATCGTACTCCTCCGCAAAGCTTTTCGCATATGCATGTTCCCCTTCGGAGGAAAAAGCCTTTCCTCTTCATAAAGTTAGTGAGCCAGCACCTGCTCGCTTTAAACTGGCTCCGCATTAGACCTTTTTCTAAGACTAATTGCATAGACCGCACTTGGAGCAGTTCTGTCGTCACGGGCCGCTGTGCCGCTCGCTGCTCAAGCACATACTCACCGAGCAGCTCTTTAATTTGTGGAAACCGACCCTGCTGTGGTCCACAGAAGCCTTTGCGTGAAGCTTTGCTGTCGACAATCTTCTGCTTTTGTTTCCGCCGGTCCCGCACGCACGTTTCGGGAACTCCGAACGACCGCGATGCGGCCCGATTTCCGTCTGTTTCTGCACACGCGATGACTTTTGTTTTAAAAGCGGCATCGTGGTGCACTCGAGTTTTGGGAGTCGGCCCTTCCACGCCGTCGATTCTAATGCACTACTAGATGACGAACTCCTCAGCACACGTACGAAGTGCCGCACATGGGAAACACATAGGCAGAAATGGCCGACGCGCCATGCCGACGCACGTAGGGGGCGGCCATTTCGGATTTGCCGATGGCAATAGATTGACCGTAATTTTTTTTGTTCGTACTCGATTCTAACGCGCATGCGATTTATGAACTCGCTTAACCGGAAAAAAGGTGCGCGTATGATTCGAGTAATTACGGTACTTCTTTCACAATGCGACCGTGGCATACCCATGTCCTTGTCGCATACTGCCACCACCAACACCGTGTGTGTGACGATACTAATTTTTTTTTACCAGCAATATAGTCAACAATGTATTGTTCATCAATTGCGACATATGGGGCAAGTTTTATGTAGGCTCGTGCGAATATTCGAGCGCTTCGACCTATTGAACGAACATTACTGTACACGAATTCACTTTGATTCAAATTTGAATTATCAGAAATTTTGAAGATGGTGAAATGGTCGAATAGTTGTATATTACCGCACGTAACCCTCTGTAAAGGTCATTTCACTGCAGCCAAGTGGTGTTATACCATGAGTACACCTATCCAAGCGAAATTCTCGCTGTTGTGAAGCCCCACTTCAAGGTTAAATGGTACTGGTTTATATGCTGCAACTACGGTATGTCTTAATTAATGGAAGTTTCGTGCCATAGGCTTATGCACATGTTTGATAGGACCATATGGTGTAACAGAATGAGCCAAATTTCTGAATTAAAGGGTGCTGAATACATGAAGCCTTATTGTAATAGCTGCATGCATATTGCATACTATAACACCCTTATCATGAAACGTATTCACGAGTTGTTTTGATTAGAGCAGATCTCCAAGAAGCACATATGCATCTAATAAAACATGTATGAGGGTCCCATGCAGCTATGTGGTGTGAACTTCTTTTTGATTGCATATTCAGTGCATTCCTTTGTTGATTCCTGTTTTGTTTGTGTTAGCTTCATTGGACAGGAAAGTATATTGAGTGACTAAAGTTGCCTTTTTTTCCCATTCTTTTTGTCCGAGCAGAGTGAAACCAAATCAGTGCAAAAATAGGTACACGGATGTACTCTGTTTTGACCATAGCAGAGTGATTTTGTCCATGAGGAATGAAGATGACTGCAGCACGTACATCAATGCCAACTTTGTAGATGGTTACCGCCAAAAGAATGCTTTCATATCAACACAAGGTAGGGCACATCATGATGCACTTGTTGTCCTGCTATTATGCCATCAAAGAGACTGTAATGATGAATGCAAAATTATTACAAATCTGACGTGCAGTAATGGGCCAACTGCTCCATTTTGCTTCAATTCTACTTATGTGCACATTTATATGGCCATCCAAGAAGAACTTGTGCCAATTGTGTCAAAGTTAACTACATTTGCCTGGTTCGGTGTTCTTAGTGTAAAATGTTCTTGCACAGTCAGTTAGCACCACAACCACCTTTTCTACGACCTGTGGAATCCTTCCCTTTTGCTACTTCTCATTTTAGTACTTTGGCTCGTTAATGCATACAGAGAATCTCAATCAACCTAAAACCATAGTAGAAGCACAAGGGTCCACGTAGTTGCACAGTTATTTTTTATTATTTTAACCCTAAAGTTTAGTAGTTACCTCAAAAGTATTTTAACCCTATTTAACCCGGGGTACACTGAGACTTCAATGACATATTTAGGTCACGAAAATGATGTAAAAAAAAATGCACACAGTCAAATGGCAAACAAGAAAAGTTCCATCAGTGGGTACTGAACTTACAACCTCTTAGTATGCGAAAACACATTCCGGGCACGTTATCTGCTATGCCATGGTCGCACACTCTGGAGGCTTTACGAACGCCCCTTTTATATCTCACACTTTTCTGTCGCAGTGCTCTTGCTCAGAGGGCTGATATTGGCATGCGGGTGCCGTAAAGTGAAGTAATGAATTATCACGGTGGCCTGCGCAATTTTAACTACTGCAACGCATCATTACTACCTGTTCATTCTATCGTATTTACTCGCATAATAGGTGCACTTTTTTTTTCCAGAAAGTCCGGCGCCAAGTTCGGGGTGTGCATATTACACTGAGTAAAATTGCGCACATATTATTTTAGACTACAGCATAAACTGCTGATAACGTAAGTCGCCAAAGTCACGAATATCCGCACTACAACTGAAACAACCGCGTCGAGCATGCAGTCTGGCGTGTCAGAGAATTGAGGCATGCAATGCGGTGTGCTTGCAAGCATTCAAGTTGCCAGAAATTGACATCGAAAGACACAAAATAAACTTACAAAAAACCCACAAAAATAAAGTGCCATCGGGGAAATTCGCCCGCTAAGTGTCGAGTGCCATGTATATTATGCGCATGATCACTGAACGGTACCAATTGTTCATTTCACAGGCTTGGACCCCATATCTAAGGACATTGCAATCAAATCTTGAACCACCACTCAAGTGTTATAAGTGCCACCCATGCCCCCTTTTCTTCGAGTAGAGCCACCGCAAAGAGTTAGGTTGATTCTGTACAAAACTACGACTGATCGCTCGCGACCGCCACTGAAGAAGCAACCAACGCTGATTAGGCCTAGTCCATGATTCGGCATGTTGTCGCGGGAAGTTTGTACAAGACAACGTGAAGATCGGCCGTTGAAAAATTGCACTCAAGCACTGATCCAGGAGTATAGCGCAGGTGATACAATGTTTAGATTCCTGGCCGGGAAATCAACGGCGACAAAAGTCCACTGAGCTTGTGCAAGTGCGGGTAGTGGCAGCAAGGACGAAAGCTCGCCTAAATGCCAAATAGTTTTTAAATTTGCAGACGAGGAAGCAAACATGATAACGGCGACGCTTTTCTCGACATGAAGCTCGAATTGCTCTGGATGAGGACGTGATCGAACTTTCCATGCAGAGCACGTGCGGACACAGCCGCACAGGCGCTGATGCAAAGGTTTCTCCGACGACCAGGCAACTGCCCTTCTTTCTAACTTGGCAAGCCTGCGCTAATTAAAAAAAATTTTTCCTTGTTCCAGCTAACATGAGAGGGCGTCCAATTGCAACCATGCAATTATGGCAATGAACTACTGATCACGGTCATGTTCGGGTGCCCCTATTATGCGTAGAAGTAAAAAAAAAATCTGATATATCTCAACTGAACTGGGGGTGTGCCTATTATGCGAGTAAATACGGTATTTGGCTTGTTTTCGATACAAGTGCATTTTTGTCAATGCCTTAACGCACTGCGATGTGGCAACCTTAGCCCAAACCTTGGCCTTGCTCCTAGCATTCATGCACATTTAAAACAGCTCTGCAGAGCGTGCCTGCCTCGCCTGCATGGAGCTCGCCTGGCTGAAACATCCCACTTACGCTCGCCCTCATAAATATTGTGAACGGCTAGAGAGAAGACATAACGCGTGTTGCATTTCCCTCTAGTCCAGCTGTGATGTTTAATAACTCTTAACATGCCGACGAGGTGGCGACCTTAGCCCAAGTTTTGCACCTGATTGGCGACACTTTTCAGCTGTTACACTATTTACTCGCACTGTCAACTACTATGGTTACCACAAAGGTTTCTTTATTGACTGATCATGGACGTTAGTCGTTGGGATGGAGATGGGACCACCAAGCGTCAACACAGGTCCATGCACCTTAAGCAGCCCAGCACCAATAGACATTGTGCAAGCTCTTTTATATTAATGTACAGTAAACGTTCAACGTTCTGTAAGGGCATGTTTTACGTTTGTGTTATGCCTATTCCTATGACGGAGGAATCAGCCATGTCTTAATTATTTTACTTTGTCCATTTACTGGTGTTGCAATAGCAATGCTGTCAGCTGTGGCAACTCGGTAGCTGTAGATTACAGGTTTGGCTCCTGACTGCTGTGGCTTCATTTGGCTGATAAGAAAATATAGAAATGCTGGCATATTTACATTTTGTGCACATTAATACAATTCCACATTCACTGTAACCCTCATGTTACATTGCTACTCTGTGTCCCATGACTATGCTTATTCAGGGCCTTTGCCAAAGACATATACAGACTTCTGGCGAATGATCTGGGAGCAGCACTGTGCAGTAATTGTGATGACGACACGGACGTTTGAAAGGGGGCGGGGCAAGTGCGGCCAGTACTGGCCGCCCGGGGAGCCTGGTGCCTCTATAGAGCTTGAAGACCTGTTCAAGATTACCGTCTTGGCCAAGGACCCCAAGCCAGATTATGTGGAAACGCAATTGGAACTGTACAACTGTGAGGCAAGTACCTTGCTTCCCTTCTTTGTTCTTTTTTTTTTTTACTGCAGTAAATGTTGAGGATGTCGCGGCTTTGTGGCACTTGTTGCTGGCGTCAATATCGCGCCTGTCGCGTGTCCCTTTTGTTGATGTCTTTCGGAACTGAAGCGCTCGATTGTCTCGATACAGGCGATTGAGGTTCGGCTTTCCTCGTTTCATTCTCCCATCGACACAGAGCCAGGAGTCCCGCTCCGTGAGCCACCTGCAGTTTACAAGTTGGCCGGACTATGGTGTGCCTGACTCTGCTCTGGCCATGCTGGCATTTCGTGGAGTGGTGCGTGAGAAGCAGGCGCAGGCTGTAGCTTCTATGGAGCCCAAGTGGGATGGCCATCCCTTAGGACCACCTATCGTAGTTCATTGCAGTGCTGGAATTGGCCGTACCGGTATGCTACTTTACATGCATCCAAACATTCCACCTCCTCATATAAAAGGTTCTTTGTAAAGCAGTATGATGATATAATGATATGTAGGTTTTAGTGGTTCAAGGGCCATAAAGAGCGCCGTAATAAATGATGAAAGATCAACAATAATCTGTGCTTTACGATGATTTGCAAAGCAGTACGAGATTTAGTATTATGTTGGTTGAACTGTGAAAAAAAATAAAGAAATGCCAAGAGGGGGAGTAAGGTAGGAGAGGAGGAAGGTATGTGCGTGTTACAGACTGGCCGATTTCATCAGTGCTTGTGCACAGTTCTCTAGCCTGTATAGATTGAAACTGCAAAACACTATGCGCCTTTTTTGTGAGTTCTGGATTGCAGGATTTGGTCACACTGCAATGATTCATCGAGATTCATTTTTGTGCAGGAACATTCATTACTCTAGACATTTGCATCAAGCAGCTGGAGGAAGAGGGAAGAGTGGACGTTCGTTCCACAGTGGAACGAATTCGTTCCCAGCGTGCGTTTAGCATTCAAATGCCCGACCAATACGTCTTCTGCCACCTTGCCCTGCTAGAGTTTGCCCTACTGCGTGGGCTGCTTCAGGACGTGGCTCTAGATGGCTTCGATGACGATGACGACCGTGATGGCTCGGACTCTGAGTGATTATTTCTGTGCATTGTTTTGCTGTGTAAAACTTGGTACCTTTTAAAGTAATTTCCCCATCGCAGACTTGTGGCCGCGATCATGACTGCGGCATCGATGTAGCGATACATTTTACATTTACCTTTCTATAATTGGGTTGAGGTGTACGAATGTCTGATCTAGCTAATCTCTTAACTTATTAATAACTCTAAAATGCCTGTGTGATTTGTTGAAATACACAAAAAGGGCTTTCTATTTTGTGCAGACCAGCAGAACAAATCTCAAGATTTTGTTCAGTGGCTGGAATACTTGCTGAATAATTTATTGATATTTAAAGTAGCTGATGTGGTTGTATTAGTGGCAGCGCATAAAACTTGCACAGTGGGGAAGAATTCCATCATTCTCTTTTTCTTCCCCCTTCTGCCAGTTTGCTTGCCAAAGATTCGGCAAGCTGTGCAGGCATTGTTAGATAACAGCATACTTGACTGAGGTGCCTTGCATTAAGTGCGCCGCTTTTATTACTAAGAATTATTTAACGTTTCGTGAGTAATTGAAGCCATATATAGTTTAGTTTGAGCGGTGATGCATTCGTGTTGATGCTGTCAAAGCTTCACCGAGGTATTGTTGAAATACTCTGGTCATATTCACACCTCACGCATGGCTCAGGGGTTGCTTTTGAATTATCCTGCGTATTGTGTAACATTCTTTTGCACTTGCTGAACCATGGCACAAATATATAAGGCTGTTGTGTTTCGATTGCAGGTGTAGAGTCCACACGATATTATACTGAAAATAATAGAGTGTAACAGTGGCTATATTTTTTCCAAAAATGTGCGGGCAGTGCTTTACACATTTAAAAGTTATTTTTTCACCATTAGCACAGCATTAAGCGCTGATAGGCAACAGTATCTGCAACCGTGTGGTGCCCAAAATATGGTATAAAATTTACGTTTTTCCGTTCACAAAATTTTACCGTCTTTTGTGTATTATTCTTAGCTTTAAATACCACTTCAGTTTATTGACTTAGTTCAACTATTGTGTGCCCCTGCACGAGCATAGAATGGCAGATAATAGTTTTAAAAACTAGCAGAATATACTCGTGTACTAAGGTGCCATATTGTTATAATTTCTTATCTGTACCTGCTTTCTAACCTGTAAGACTGAGAGTGCCCCTTTTATCTTTTTTTTTTCTTTTTTAAGGATTCAGCTTTGGTAAATCTCTTCTGTGAGTACGTGGTGAGCGTGCAGCAGATATGATTTGCAGCTTGACTTGTCAAAACAATGTATGGTGGTCAGTGGTACGGAGTAAAGTTTTGAAAAATTGAACATAAATTTAACCAATCATGCTTAGTCACTACAGAAATAGCAAAGTTACATCAGTATGGCTTGCAGAAAATGCTAGCCGAATGTACCATACATAAATCTACTGAACACAAGGAACCTGCTTGTCTTGTGTAATAGCCACTTCAACACTATTTCCAGCAGCTATCTGAAACCCAATCTTTTTACCCTTTTGCAGTGTCAGCAGTCATGTGCTAAATATTTCACTCTTCACATCTTTGTTGATATAACATCCTTTTCCAAAACTTTTTTCTAGAATTTCGTTCCTTGATAGAGGTTCCAATAATTTTAAGAAAATAGCTTAGAAGGTCCTTTCCATGTCCAACTCTATTTACATTAGGATATATACTTTTGCAGATAAATCTTAAGAAACGTAAAAAAAGGATATTTTGGTTTTTAGGTTGCACTAATGAATTTCTTACTGAAGGCAAAGCCTTGCGGCGATGGCACGAGTCAGCTGATAGTTACATGGAACATATTTCTTCAAATTCACTAAAACTGGCATTCAGAGTAGAGTCTAATCTATGTCGGGGAACTTTAAAAGGGATCTATTCCAGGGAACTTTAAAAGAAAGGTCAAGTATAATTCGTAGACATATTCAAGACATTACCAATGATGCATACTGGTAAGTGTTAAATGAATATCTTCCATAAAGTGTGCAGTAAGGCTACAAGAACAGAAATTTTAGGGTAGTGTCTGCACTATTTATCTGAAGGAGTTAGCTCAATTTTCTTGTGAACACGCCAGGAACATGAAAAAGGTGTACATGATGTGAAATCTACTAATACCCACTGTCCACTGTGAACTTTGCTTTGTGAAAAGCCCACTAGCATGGCAGAACTGGAGATGAATCTTACTTTCAGTATGTTCCTTGTATACACTGTGTGTTCTATGTACATTTAATCTTAAATGAAACACATTCCATGTGTTACATACTCAGGTGGCTGCCTGGGAACGTGCATTGCGGGATTGATTGTAACAGCGTGACTATTGTATAGAACAAAGTGGATACTCCGGCACTCAGCTGCTTCATGCTAAAGATACAGCGGAAATATGTGTTGCGTAGTTGTTGCTTCACAGTGCAGTCTCCAGTTCCTTGCCATCAAAACTGAAGAAGAGTATTACCCTTGGGAGGAAAAAAAAAAAAGACTGAAACAAGACTTGCCTAAAGTTTATACTATTACCAGCTATGCTTATGACAGACAGTATCCAGTTAAATTTACATTGCTAAAACCCTTTTCCCCCTGACATTTCAAAATGCTCTAGTTTTCCACTGGAAACTACCTCAGTTTCTCTGCTGTAATGAGAATGCAGTCACTAGGCTGCTTCGCACAGACTGGTCAGATAACAAGCGAAAAATATTTCCTCAATTAAGAGTGTCTGCTACAAGGAATGAGACGGGGAATTCCTGAAAAATGTGTCAGCTCCACATTGTGTAAGAACTGCATCATTGTTGTCGAAAATCTGTTCATCACCAAAAAAAGTTATTTCGTATGGCCGTGGCAACACTGTCAGTAGACAGATTTTATTGAAAACTTGTTCCAGAGAAGAGCCTGCGGCGATTTTTCCTGCATTGATGATACAGCAACTTCATGCACACATGTTTGCTTGATTTTATGAGTAGCCACTTCAAAACAACCCCATGAAACTGCATTCTTACATTTGCAGATGTAGTATGCTCGCAACTTTCTTTCCATTCCACTTTGCTTTCAAACAAGGCCAGCTAATGTGGTGCTGGTGCGATCCCTCTCACTGAAGTCGTTGCACATTGCCTGATTTCAAAAAATGCTTGCAGTGAGGCTTAAGATAAGGGGCAAAAATGATTCTTGGGTGCAGTGCTGTGATCACATTGTTGGCTAACTGTGCTTTTTGCATGTTGCTGCTGAAGGCAGCAAAGAATCATTGTGGCAATAACACTGTAGTGCCGTATGAAGTGCAAGCAGGATAAAAATCTAACTAGGTTGTTTATTAGCATCTCCATATTTGCCCAGGTGTGTGAAATTAGTGAGAATTAACGACTGGTGCTGCAAGAGCGTAGGTACAAAACGTGTTAGCTCCCAGTTGTGCTGAGAAGCAACTTAAAATTATTGGGCAATCATGAGCAGAAGCTCTTTTCTGGCATGGCTTGCTAGGAAGTTTTAGCAGTCAGTAACATCAGGAACTCGTGCAACAGATTCAAGTAATTGTGTGGAAAAGGTGTTCTCTGGCCTGCCTGTGTGGCTAGAAAGAAAGAAAATGGACTTCAGAAGAATGTCTCCATTGTATGCTGAACCTGCTGCCAAATGACATTGTGAGGTCCGCAACTGTAGCTCGTCGCAAGAAGCCGGTCTTGGAAAACTGGTCGGTAGTCTAGCAAGAGGTTTCTCCAGAGCCAACACTTTGTCAAGAGACTTAGGTTATGGTGAAGGCTAGAAACATTACCACCAGAGACATCTGTCCAGGCACTGCTGACCATTCATCTTTGTTTTCTCATGAACCTCAGTCTTCTTCAAATGTTGTAAAACAAGCGTGTCATTGTGGTGAATGCATCCTCCTTGCTGTATCGTTATAGTGACTCCTATTGTCATTGTGTGTAGTGGCATAGTGAAATCAAAAGCTGGCATTTCGTTTCTCGCACAGCGCAGAAAAGAAACGTGGGCTGCTTGAGCATACATATTTATTGAATGAAAACGGCCTTATCTGCTGACAAACTTGCACAGCTTACTGTTTTCAACACAAGGTGTGCAGTATATTCAGCGGCAAACCTGTATCTGCCGACATACCTGCACAGCTTACTGTTTTCTACATGGGGTGTGCAGTATATTCAGTGGCAAACCTGTTCAGCAGTTCTTTCTACCGTAGTGTTATGTCTAGATGTTAAGTTCTCATCAAGCTTAATTAAGATGTGTAATAGACATGTTGAGAACTTTTATAAAATCCTCTAATGGCTATTTCAGATCATGCCACTTCAACTAATGCAAGACAACGTTCAAACTGTGCTTCAAGAGAACAGTTGGGCTTCAGTAAGGATACTAACGTTATATTACTGCATGTTATGAGACTGGATCTTAGTGTTTTTAATAAGGCTCGGTTGCTGTGTTTCACAGCCCCTGCACTTCGACTGCTTTCTGGAATTGCCACTAAAATATCGTTTTGCACAAAGAAAAAAAAAAAATTCACAGCCTTAGCAAAAAAGCTCCAGTGCAGGTATGCACTGGAGCTTTTCTGTCTTGCCCCAGTAGAATCGATACTTTTGATAGCAGAGAATAAAAACAAAACAAAGCTAGAACATTTTCGAAGAGGCTTTGCATTAAGCATGGCGAAATCTCAATGTGGGGAGGCGTAGATTGCCAGTGGCACCTATATATGTATTCGAGTGCTTTTGAACTGATCAAAGGTGTGCATGCTTTCTGGTGGAATGGTACATGTTGTAGGCATGTCGCATGTATTGCGCATTACCTCCTTCAGCTGCTGATGACTTGGCATACATCCGCACTTATTGATAAATGGCAGCCTTATGTTGCTTAGTCTTGTGTGCGAATGCCTCATTGGCTTTTTGCATGAAAGAGGCAGCAACAAAAAAGTATTGAATTTATTGCATTCCCAATTTAGTATAGCCTAGTTTTCCCTAGCATCGACATTAGTCAATGCTTCGGAAAACTTTGCACAGGCTTGTTTTTAGAGGCACTTTGTAAATATAGTAGTGTTTTATTTCCGCAAGTGAGAAGCAAACTGTCTTCCCCAAATGCCCCTTGTTTATATGTGTATGTTAGCATCCAGCTTTGCTGTTGATTCTTTTCAAAGGGAATGTTAGATTCTTCCTACTGGAGAATTGTGTGTAAGGATTTTTGTTTTCCAAATGCTTGTCTATTTTTGTCTACTTAATGCAAGGAAGCCGTGGCTTAAAAAGAATATTGGTACCTATGTATACGCGGTATCAAACAGTTGCAGGTCTCCCACAGTGACAGATGCTGTCATACCATCTCTTTAATGTGAAGCTGAATTTTATTTTAAAAAGCACAGCGGTCAGCATTTGCACCGCAGCAGCGTAAAAACAAGCACACACCATGGTTGCTTTATACAGTGCACTAAACCGTCTGGTGCTCATCTACATAGGTTGTACAGCCTTCCAGTCTTTCAGCGATAGCATGCGAGCATTCATTGACAGACTTACAAGCACAACTTGATTGTTTGTTGCGGTGAAATATATTGGGCAAGCTCTGCGTGTGTACACGAGGCACTGGGTAGCGTAACCCGCACGTACTAGGCTGATAGTATATGTTAGTGTAAATAATTGGATTGCTCCTCAAACTTCCCTGCAGGTTTCTTATCATCTATATGACAACGCAAACTCACTAAAACCAATGGAGTAGTACAGACGTCTATTGTGTAGATGCCAATCGTAACAAACAGAAGAAGAAGCAAAAACGCACTCGGGATAAGTGCTGCGTACATGTAGTATGAAAACGGCACCTGCCTTTTGAATACAGCTTTCCTCAGTCCTGTGCGATGTTCGACTGGTAAATTGCATTGTACAGCAGTAGTGTTAACTCGCTCACACTTTAAGATGCTTGTATACACACACAGAATCGATCATTTTAAAGCTGCTCTTCGTCATGCATTTCATGTACACCAGTATGTTTAGTTATCAGAAAACCTCTTTTTATTCGTTTGCATAATGTTGATTGTGCTCCACTCTGGACAATCCTTATTACACTGACAACGCTCGCATGTTGTTCGTTGAGAGACTGGAGAGGCTACGTGTTCGACATCCTCACCAGTTATATTTGTTGGCGCATCACAATGGCTAAGCGCCATGCCTGTGCCATGTCCAGCCTGCTCTCAAATTGCACTGTTTGAGACTGTTCACTTGCATCGTTTTAATGACTGCTGCAAAACGATTAACAGCTATCATTAATGCCATTTTTAAGAGTTCCCCGGGGACCTTGTGCGTGTGTGTTGTGGTCGTGTGCGTCCTTCCTTGCGTATTATCCTAGTCACGTTTTAGGCGCGTGAATCCTGTGCATTTATAATACAAGCCGTTTTCTTGTCAACTTATGTCCATTGCTGGTGTATATTCTGATGTGTACTGCTCCTTGCGTGTGTAACACCAGTGAGACAATACTTTTTTTTGTTTTTCTGTTGTTGATGTATTGTGCTTTATTTAAAATAACCTTGCTGTCTGTCAGAGCTCGCCTCTTGCCAGTCTGATATGTTGTATTTTATTCACCGGTGGGATATATTTTGTTGTTGCCATTCAATACCCAAGCACTGTCTGTCGTACACTACTCCTAAAATCTCTAACATTTATACAAAGCCCGGAAAAAAAAAAAAACCTCGCTTGCTATCATGTTTTCCTCTCTGATTTTTCGACAAGCCTGGAAACAAATGTCAGCCTTCCATTTGCATGATCCCAAGTGACAAGACAAAGAAAATACCGCCCCCAATTTCACTACACAGGCATCCTCTGCATGAAATCAAGAATAGCACACGCATTCGATCATTAGTGCATACAACATTAATTGGAACTTGGAAGCTATTATCCTGGCGAAATGTTCAGCATGTTGCTCTAATTGTACAATACCTTCCCATTAATGATTGCACGTTCTACGATCTACATACATAAGTCTTCAACCAGCAACTTGTATAGCAAGAGGAGAAAAGTTGCACATCAGCTTTTAAGCCAATCCCTTTGCTTTCACCTTCCGCAGCTGATATGATAAAAACACTTTACTTCTTATCATCTACTTCAACATCACTTCAAAATACTGACATGGTTTATCGAACCTAGGTCCTCGGTAGCTTACACAAATTGACTAGAAGGCAATAAAAAATTTTCATGAACATATCTACTAGACAATGGTGAATTGCAAATTTTCGCGCAAACACAAGTCTATGTTTGACCGATGCACAGACACAGCTTGTTTGTAAATCTCTCAGCATGAGGCAAAGTATAAAATTTGGTGAGCCAGGTGTCTTGCTAGATTAAAAAATAAATAAAACAGCAGTCATTATTCAAGTCAACCTGGGTCGTATGTTTGTATAGTTTTCTTTTCAAAGTTCAGTGGTTCAATAATGTCACTTAATTTCTCGAACAGTGATTGGAGACTGTTAATTTTCCAACACCTGAGAGCATTGATTAAAACTGCAAGTTAAGCTATGACAGACACACTGGACTGAACTGAAGCCACAGAAAAAAAAATTAGCTGACATTTTATGCTTTAACGCTCATGCTAAGTTAGGTCCACTCATTCATTTTCTTGAACTGCAAGTGCTAAATTCACCTTGTGCAGTTTGAGCAACATTTTAGTCTTCTGGTCAACCATCATTAACTTGACAAATAATTATTCTTCTATTTACATAGGAGCCTTAATTAGACAGCTCATTATCTCAAGATGCAACCAAAGCTACTTTTGTTTCAGCCAACATTTACACCGGAATCTGCTCACACTGGATCAACCTAGATTCATCTTACCAGTGGTAGCATTGTGACAGAAGCCCATAGTTTATTTTCATTTTTCAAGTTTCCAATTGTAGAAATGCCAACCAAAATGTCAAAAAAGAAGCTGTGATGCTACATGACAGTCATTATTTTATTACAACTGCACACTTACAAACTGTTTTTTTTTTTTCTATTTCATACAACACTGCACAGCAGTACAACTCTCTTGTCTTTCCAAAGATTTACAGTGTCCTGATTGAGAAGCTTGGTGGCTTTTTTTTTTTTTTCTTGTTTGAGTGACAAATGCGAGTTTTGCCTCTGGATGGCAACACCTTGACTCACAATCACTGTTTCATAGTCCCTGGGCCTTTGGAAGACTGGCTCACATAACATTAACGCACTTTTTATCACATGTAGCGTGGAAATAAAAACATATCGTGAAAATGAAAAACCGTGTCTCGCCGTGAACTTCCCATTAATTTTCATTACTACGGCACAAAGCACTCTACCACAATCGGCGACAGCTTATCTTGGCACTATAGAGCGAAGGCTTACGAAGGCGCGACTTCCGTACATTCAGCGTTGATCCTCAAGTAGTACGGTTGCAGTTGATTTCAATTTTGCTGCTTAGCATCAAGAATGCATTTAAAAATTAAATACAAAATATATGAATGGGAGAAAGAATTCTTTCTGTTCCGTGTACAATTTAGTGTCTATTGATGGTATACTTTTCTTTGAGAACTAAACAGCACGTCTACAGCTGCACGATGACTGACCCACTAAGTAATGGACACCATGTTCAGCCTGGAAAACTGACATGCTGAAAAGGAGGTGCTGTCTCAGAAATGGAAAGAAAAAGAAGGCATTCTTGTAAAGTGAACAATAGCTGTAGTATGTTTTACGACTTATCGCAACTGTCCCTAGTCTCGTAATAAACAAAGCAGCATTTATTTCAGTAAGGCCAATGAAAAAATATCAGTAAACTTGAATACTACTTTCAGGCACAGTAGCAGGCATGCGCTTCAGTTCGACAGCGCCCACAGTGCTTTAAGAAAAGTTACCGCCTAGTCTGAAAGGTTATCTCGCGGTCAAAAGAGCGGATGTACTTGACTGTAGCATGTCAACCTTTCTTCATATTCTTCAAAAATGCTCAAGACATTGCCCTGCTTCAGAGAATTTTCGTTAACTTTGCAAAAGATGGTCAATCTATTACAGCTTGGAAAACACGCCGAAATGATTAAACACGTGGGCTTGAGTGATTGCCATGCCTTTCATTAAAAAGCGAAGCCGCCACTCCAAATCAAGTAGTACATGCTTCATAAAAAGAATTGCACATGTTTAAAAGTGCTCCACGTGTGACACTTCAAAGGAACACGCACCATATTGCTGTAGTATCGGCGATAACACCCATTCTAATTGCTCAAAGTGTTCCAGTTGCAAAAGGGACGAGGAAGACATGCGAGAAAAATGTGGCCTAATGTGTACTGTAAGCCGTGGTAGAAATTATCTTGTAGACCTCTTGAGTGTGACAAGTTGTTCAACCGCCTCCCTGTCTCTCTCGCTCATTTCTTTCTCTCTCTCTCAACTGCCATAACAGAGATGCTAGCAAAGAGTCTAGTGAACTCTAGAAATTCTCTGCATGAGAAAGCTTTTCTTGTGTTACTCATTCAAAACCTAAGCTCAACTTTCCTGCTTGGCAATTCACAAAGTGAATGAGAGCATTCAGGTTGATACCATTAACATTGCAGAATAGTGTGTCCGCTTCCCAAACCAGTTTTGCCATTACAGCAGGTTGAACCTAATGACAGGAACCAAACTTTTAAAGAAAAAGAAAAAACTTCACACCAGGTGGGGGGCACAAGAAAAGTGGCACACGCAGGACCATGCCTGGAGCATTGCACTTGCGCTAGTTTCAGTAAATCAGACTTTTCAAAGAAAGGACAATTGGAAGCAAATTTTTCTGTTAAACCACCTTGCAGCTTCATGCCAGCCCGGTGAATCACTGAAGCAGGAAATGAGCCTTAAGCAACAGAGACATTGTTCAAGCCTAACATCTAAACCCCTGGTAAAGAGAAAATTCAGGCAGTGAACAAAATGACACTTTTACATGACTGAATAGCCATGGCTGTATTCTGGAATGATAGCTTCCACTTCTCCTCTTTTGAGAGATGCCAGCTGAATACAGCCTCGCAAGAGAAAAGCTCGTTAATTGGCTGACGGCCACTGCTTCTTACCATCAGTATTACCGTATTTGCTCTTATAACACCAACTACTAAAGTGCAAAGAAGTCCCTAGACAGAAAACAAATAGTAGTATTAATAGTAGTTAAAATAAAAAGGTCACAACTGTTTCACCTGTGAGCGCACAAAGAAAATGAAAACAGTATAAAAGAATTAGTACTAACAGTGTAAAAGTCAAACAAGGAAGTAAGAACAGTGAGAATGTTGTACTTTTGTGTTCTAGTTCTGTTCAACCAAAGAGCCTGAATCTACTGCTGGCAGCATAAATGTAATGACTTAAAACAATGTATTTTGCTAAGCAGGCCAGACTTCATAATGCATGGTATTTGGTGTAAAAAAAAGCTTACAATCTGACCTGATTACAATAGTAGGCTCTTGTCTTCAAAATAAAGAAATTGCGTATTTTTTCTAAACACATATGAAGCAAACGGTAAACAACACAAACCAGCACGGAAGTTCAGGTAGCCCCTATTGCTCCCTGCGACCTATAAAAACGTATAGTTACATGCCAAACTCTCATCACACAATCTATACTCCAATTGATTACCAAATGGAAGTTTATATAAATGCAGGAAACAAAGTTTGAAAAGACTTGCAGATAAAAAAAGGTAATGGGCAAGTTTCGACAAGCAGAAGAGCAAGATTAGTTAGACCCAAGTGTATACTGCACGGTGTTTCTGTAACACTTTGGAGTGCTTTGCTATCACTCCACTCTGAAAAGCAAGTGTATGTGTAAAGTGAAAAAAATAAAAACGACGATCACAAACGTAACAGTTCCACTTACAGGAATGTGCGTTTTTATGATTGCATTGCAACGCAACTGAAAATGTTGCTGAGAATACTGAGAAAAGATAACGACAGTGTATCACACGATGAGAAGCACTGAATCTCTTTTGTTTTCTTTTGCGAAATTCTATTTTCTGACAATCTTGTGGCAAGACATTGACTCTCAGTACATAAAGCCCAAATTTCCTCCCCTATTATTTTTTTTTTTTTCATTTTGTGCAAATGCCCTAGCCCTGGTACGTAAATATGATGCAATAAGTTTTCATGTGTTGTTGTTTTTCTTGCCATTTTGGCAGTACGTAGTGTTTCAGCGAATATTCCTAAAACTTGCTTAATCAATGGCTCTTTTAAGCAGAATGCATAATTAAAATTTAAACGAAAGAAAACCTCATTCATCACTTCCAACAAAATGAGCGATATATGTGCAAAAGTGGAAATACGAAAAAGGCGTCATCATCACTGAAAACCAAAATCACTTATGTATAATGAAACACAGTGGAAGGCCATGACGTCACAACTTGGTGGTGTAGGAAACCCGAAGGTGTTGTTTTTCCAACCATCTCTTGTTTTTGCACCTTTCTCGTTTGTTAACCTTTATTACGGTAACAGCGACTCCTATATATTTTTCGCAGAATGCAGAACAGCAATTCTCTGACACAGCTCTTAGATTACCATTAATCTTTTAAAAAATGCACTAAACACTGGCAAATGTGACAAAACGTAATAAAAAAAACCCGCAAATTCAATGTGTAGCACAATAGTTGTAACAAGCATTTTGAATAAATAAAATAAAAGCAATACGGTAATTTCATTATGGGTTGCACAGATACAGTGCAGATGGCTGTAAATTTTGTGACACTTAAAACAGAAAAAAACATCACACATAACCATCATAAAAAAGATGGAAAGCATACAAAAGAACACTTCACACTGCATCAACACCGCAATAACTGCATTCAAATATGTAGACAGATGAGATTATACACGAGGTGAGATTCTGATACGCACAGGAATACAAAGTGAACCTCATTACATCAAGCAGTGGCACTTATTTGAGGACTAAAGCGTTCAAGCAATTGAGCACTTACACATGCACAAACTCACTACTGAAACTTTAGACAGCTTCGCATTTGAAAATTTGGGTTATGGTCATTATGACTGTTGCCTGAATATTTTTGTATCTACGACAAAGCAGTTTTAAATGTGAAATTTTGACGTTAACATGTCTTTTACCCTGCATACCTGCCAAACTAAAATCTTGAAAGATTCTATTGTTGGAGCCATAAATTGCGAAAGATTATTTCAAAGGAGTGTGAACAACTAATTTGGATGGTATCCCGACACAAAAATGGCTGTAGTATGAGCTCCGCATGCTAGCAAGAAATGCCGTGACGAATTTTGGCAGAACAAAGTAATTAAGGCTAATTTACCTGAATTTCGACATCTGGAAACGAAACGTGGCACCCTTTCCACACATCTTGCGATACCCATCAATATACTGTCAGAACAGGTGCAACAAGTGTGACACCAGACATATGTGTATGGCAAATTTGATTGACAATTTTTAGGTAATACGTATCACAGCTGAACTACAGCGACCACTCTCATGAGAACATTCCAGCATCCGATGCCAAGGGATAAAAAACACATTCATTATCCATCTCTATTTGCTTTTGTCTGGGCAGAAGCTCATGGTCAGATTCATCCGACAACAGTGCCGACATGGTCTTGGTGCTGGGAGACGCACATGTGCATTTTGTAATACGGGTGCAGCAAAGTGGAAGCACCGTGTGAAGTATGGCAGACAGTGCGTCTGCTTACTGATGTAACAGCTTAGACACACTACATCACATCGCTGTTACGCGAAATTCATGGCGTCACACGGATGTTTTCCACTTCTTCGCAGAAGTTTTTGAAATCTTGGTCAAGAAATTTTGGTGCCTACACTCCTTTGAAATGCCATTCAATTCACTTACTAATCAATATGCTGACTGTTTAATAAAATTGCTTACAACCATGAGCGGACTCAATTCACAGCAAAAATGACCTGTACCACAGAGGAACAGAAACATTACAGAGTGCATCAGACACACGACATATGCTGAACTTTTCAACGTCAACATCTGCTGGTTCTAGTAGCGAGAGGCACGGCTGCAAGTAGGCCCAAATAATTGCATAGACAGGCTCTGAATGGACCTGAGTAATGAGGCTGCAATTTGAGGTAAATTCAAGTAAATGTCTTTGGTGCTTGATTTGGCATCCAATGGTAATCTCTGAAGAGTCGAGAAATTGAAAGTCATTCACTTTTTGGCAATCTTTTTCCAACGAAACTGCACTTTTTCCCTCGTCTTCTGGTGGTGAGCGTGGTGGCGAGCGCTTCTCGTGGGCCAGACCTCGCCCGGATATAGTTCACTATAGCCCAGATGCACGGTGCCTATAGTAGAATGTACTCAGTGGTACTCTACCATATGGTTACAATGAAAAACTGGAAGTGTAGCAGCGAGTCTTTTTCTGCAGCACTGCCACTGCCACAGAGGAAAGGCTGACGTATGCGCATATTCTTAAAAAAAAAAAAAGAGAAAAAAAAAAATCTCTCCTGTGGTAGATACTTTTCGGGAGATTCGAGGTGGCATTCATACAAAAGGGAGATTAGGTCCGAATTCCGGAGTCTCCCGGACAATTCGTGAGAGTTGGCAGGTACGTAATGCCCTTTTCGCTACATATGCTGCTTTTCTATAATGAGGTTCAAAACTAAAGAAGAAGAAATATATATTCAATGTACTATTCTCGGAATGATAATCCATTTCACACCGGCAGTGTAGCTCAAACGTGGCAAACAAGGAAATAATCTAAAATGTTTACACACCTGATTAGGCTGAGATTGGAAGCACTGCCATAATGATGGGCAATATACATACACAGTAAATCAGTGAACTGGGTTGTGAGCCTTGAAGTAGCATCGATAATTTCAACTACAATGACGAACCTGCTCCAACAGGTCACAGTAACCTAATGCACAAGGCTCTGAACGGAACCAGATAAAAATAATGAAGATCTGTGAGGTTCACCTCACCATGATAGCATTATGGCGAGCAGTGGTAAATGAGTGATCGAAGAGACGGCGCAATTGTGCCATCCTGGACGCTCTGCACTTACGCCATTCACCTTCGATTCTCTTGTCAGGGAAGTTTTATGGAGATTCCCTGTTGAGGCAAAGAGACAATTACAGCATGTTATATGCAGTTCAAACTACAGCAATAAGCTATTTTATGCCTGCTATAACCCACTGACTTGAGGCCACATATATTAACCAACAAATATAGGCTAGTACGATGTGAAAAAAGAATATTTATGACTTAGCATTTTAAAACCGCCGACGTCCGATTTCCCGGACCATCAAGGGACTGCGAAAACGTCTGTAAAAACGAATGCATGTGAAAACGCACCTTTTTTTGTAAGTATTTTTTGCCGACGAAGAGGGTAATGGCCGGAGTACAAGATTCCCATTGTAATTCAGCCAATGCATCATTCAGGTGGCTCTGAAAATAGCCGTTTATGAAAAAAAAAATCCGACGTGGCCGGCGCTACCTCATAGGTCAGCACTTGGGCGCAAAGAAATCACCTATTTTCTTTTCCACAACGTTCTGTGTGCCTGCGATCACGTCTGCCTCAATTTCAGTCAATGTCATGTTGCCGCTGTACACTGATGACAGTGTCATCAGTGCCCGCGTCAACTTCGAGCTTGTTGGCTGTGTAGGAGATGGCTCTTCGTTTTCGGTGTCGTCAGAATCCTCCGTAACTTGACGAATGATTTCGTAATCAGTCAAGTCTGTACATAGCTCGAAGTCTTTGTCAGCGTCGGCGAAGCCCTCAAACGTTATCCCGGCTGAAATTGACACGCCGGCAGCGCCCAGACTGTCGAAGGCAACATGCGCGGATGGCAGTTTGTCACACACAGGTAAAGGTATTCTGCTTGCAAAGTAATGCTACAAATGAAGTTGCCAGTCAAGTACTGATGACATTGTCATCAGTGCCCACGTCAACTCCGAGCGAGTTGCTGGCTGTGTAGGAGATGGCTCTTTGTTGTCGGTGCCGTCGGAATCCTCCGTAACTTGACGAATGATTTCGTCATCAGTCAAGTCCGCACATAGCTCGACGTCTTTGTCAGCGTCGGCCAAGCCCTCAAAGCTTATCCCGGCTGAAATCGACACGCTGGCAGCACCCAGACCGTCGAAGGCAACATCCGCGGGTGGCAGTTTGTCACAGACGCTGTCCATTTGGGGCGAGACAGCCGTCTCGGCGTCCTATGTGAAACACGCGTGGCGAAAACAGTTCCGGGGAGTCCCTTGCGTAACTGCCCCTTCCACGATTCCACTAGCATACCGACGGCAACGTGGGGTCAACAGCGTAGCTTTTCCCGTTGTCGGAGCAGAGCACCATTCGGCTGAACATGCGTGATTTGTAATGATGCTTTAAGTTCCGAATCACGCCTTGGTTCATGGGCTGCAGGATTGCTATGGTGTTCGGCGGCAGCAATTCAATCTGTACAGCCTTCAAGTCGTTGATGTGGCCATGCGCAGTGCAGTTATCCACAAACAGCAGAACTCTTCGATTTATCTACTCGAACCTTCTGTGCAGCTTGCGCACATAACTTCGAATAGCTGCTGCGTTACCCACGCCTTCTTGTTAGCTTCATAGAGAACAGGCAGAGTCACTGCCTTCTTGAAACATCTTGGATGCTTCGACTTGCCTATTACTAGTAATAGAAGCTTCTCGCTTCCCGACAAGTTGCTGCCAACGAGGACAGTAAGCCGCTCCTTGCTGTGCTTGCCGCAGTGGCAGGGGTCCCCAGCAAATGCAAGCGTTTTCTCTGGCAGCAGCTTGATGAACAGCCCAGCTTCATCGCAGGTGGAAATATGATTAGGCGGAAACTGTTGAAGCAAGGACTGCAGCTTTCCATCCCGATATACAGCGACAACGGAATCGTTGACGGCACCAGTTTCCCCACACATCTTCTTGAACTACAATTCATTGCGGCTCTTGAAATTGAGAAGCCATCCATCGCTCAACTTGAAGTCCTTCACGCCCATCTCAAGTGTGAAAACCTCTGCCTTCTGCTTCAGAATGTCGCCTGACACCGGGCTGTTCTTGGCATTGAGCCACACAACGAGCACTTCCTCGAGCTTCTGGTATACACCCTGGCTCGCATTCTTCTATTAAGCCTCGGTTGATTTGGCAGCCACTTCCAATATCTTCGCATTGTTTTTGATGAAGTCCGAAACAGTTTGCTTCGAAATTCCGAACTCCCTCCCCACCTCTGTCTGCCACCAACCGCGTTGGACCTGTTCAATGGCGGCGGCTTTCTTCTCCATCATGAGCCTACGAGAGGGCTTTGTGCACTTCGAAGGCGTAGACGAAGACGAAGGAGCCGTTGGTGCCATCGCTGTAAACGGTGAATCCGCTCGACGAAAAGCGCAGCATGAAACAGCGAGGAACTCGGTGAATGCTGAATGTTGGGAAATGTGATCATCGAAGATAGCGCGCAGCAGCAAACGATCAACCGCAGACATGACCGCAGAGCTGACAAAACAACACCTGAGTGAACACAGTGAGGTTTGGCTTGACTAAGCCGCTAAGCTACTGCTGGCAACGGATTGACACGTGCAGTTTCAAGGTTACGGCAACCACGGCGCGGTGCGGCGGTTTGTAGCGGTGCTGCTGGCTATACCTGCGATGCGAGTATGGCAGGTTCGATGATATGAAAACAACCATAACGGCGGCATCGGTGGTGACTTTGGGTTGGTGGTTAACAGTAAAAAGTCTGGGAAATCAGATGTCAAAGGGGTATAAGCTTATGAAACTTCAAACTTTTCAATACATTAACTCTATGGGTAACTTGACGGTGCCACAGATGAGTCCGGGAAATCGGGCATGTCTGGAATTTCGGGCGTCCGGGATATGGGACGTCAACTGTATTTAGAACATGATTGTTACCATGTTTTGCTTGAATCTGGAAACAGTCAGCTCTAACGCGCGCTTATGCACTGACTCTCAATCTAAAACAATTCAAACTAGCTCGCTACTCATACTAGAGGCATTGGAAGTCCATGTAACAGATAATTAATCTTTGCTGAAAGAGGACAAAATGATTCCAAACTTTTTTTGGGCGGCCGCTCCTAAGGAAACATACAACATAACTGTGAAAACATCAAGTTGTGCTCACATTCAACACCCGCTGAGGTCTTCCTACTCTCTATTGGCCAGCATCCACTGGTGGATTCACATCAGGATCTTGTTGCTAAAACACATTGTAGACATAGTCGATAGCATACCAAAACAATATGCAAATGGGTCAGCACATCACAAAAAAAAGGAGATAATGCACATAAATATTGGGGAAATTGATGTATTACATCAAGCAAAAAGACCTTAAATAGGCTGCAACATGATGTCGCAAACTAATAACTAAAACCGCTCGGTAATGTAAAGGTATTTTGCTTGCAAAATAATGCTACAAATGAAGTTACCAGTCAAGTACTGATTTTGATTGAGGCAATAGATTAGAGTGATGCCAAGTGATCCCAGCAGTACTGCTTTTTCAGTAAAGAGACATTTTGGCTTTTAAGCAAGTAAGCCTGTGCAAGCAGCTTCAGCGTCTAATGGTGTTTGTTGTAATAGACAAGTGATACGTGCAACAGTTGGCAGTGATGGTAATTGAAATTGTGTGCACGTGCTTCAACTCAAGCAGCCCCCAAAACGCTTAAAGAAGCTCTTACTCACAAAGTACCTTTCCAAGCCAGTGGGTTCATACCGATATTGTTTATGTACCGTGTGAAGCAATGACTGCAATGTGCTGGGAAAAGGACATACAACAGCACAGAGCACTTAGCACTCTTACTCACTGCTGTAGTTCAATTGACGCGTAAATATTTAATGGTGGTTGAAGCTAGCACCTTCGACATTCACCCATCGTGTTTCATCATGATCCCTTAACGTGAAGCACTAACTGCAGGTGGTCTACAATGTATTGTGCTATGCTTTCCAAACACATGGGAACTAAAGCTGTTCCATTTCATAAGGAAAAGCTGAACTTCGCAGGGCTGCTTGCCCCTTTGTGGCGTGTTTCGTGCCACTTTTGAGCACATGCATGCGACCTCAGTCCAATAAGCGATAATAGCATAGATTACGTGATGATATATTGATGAGATCAGTTTTACTTGTTTAACTTTCGAGCTTTTTTTATGTTGTGAAATGTTCACCTTTATTTTCATGAACAAGCTATAATATCTTGTTTTAAGTGCTGCTGACTTATTGAATTGTTAGTTTTTGTTGCGCCACATTATGCTGCTGTTATTATTAAGCTGCATTGTTCATTGCAAGTTTACTTCCGCATTTTCTGTAACCTCCCTTACTCAATGTCTTCAGGCCTGTAAGGTATATTTCAATAAATAAATAAATAAATAGATCTGCCATTTACTGCTGTGCCAACTATTTTAGGCTACCCAGTCAGCGTTTCTCACTGCTTGTCAAACACCTGTGTAGTGGTTTAGCACAGTGTCAATAAAAATCCATTCACAGCAACCTTATAGCTCCCAGAAAGCCAGTAAAAAATCTTACCAGTTAAATGAACTTAGAGGATACGACTTTTCTGAACAATGCTGAATTCACGGCTCCTCTTTCTAACACTAATGTGCATAGATATATCTGAAGAAATTGAGCCAGACGCATATTCTGAAACACGTCTGCATACAGTCATTTTGACAGGTTACACGGTCATGATGGCAGTATAATGACAGCCTTTCTCATTATTGCTATTAAATAAAAACTAAAATCAGCTATCTCATTGTTCAAAGAACTATTTGAAAAGAATGGATATTTGCTCAAGATTAGAAATTGCTAAAAACATAGAGGCAAAACCTATATATATTTAACCAGTATAGATTATGGTAAAATGGTCCTAAAAGGTCGACTACAGCGATTTTTTTTACCATATCAGGGTAATGGTGATTCTGTGTTTCTGAGACACTCTTGTCACGCGCCCAATAGCTGAAATGCTCAACACATTTGAGAATAATTTTCAGTAAGCGGAAAGGCACAATACTGAAACCGAAACCAAACCAAGCGCACAGTCTACATATGACGTAACGTGTGATAGAAACCTAGAACCGCAGGTCGTACAAGGCATCCTGGTCCTGCCGGCACGGTGTATGAAAACTGTGAATGCCGGGCCAAGCAGACGTTCCGAGTTTAGCTCGAAGCAAAGGTGAACGCGCCGAGGGTCAACTAACATGTCTGAGACTGACAGTGTATAAGAGGTGTTCGACAGCGACGACTGACGCAAATGATGCCGTTACCTCGCCGTTTTAGGGGCGAAGCTCCTTATGCCGTGAGTCATGCGTCCACGTTGTATGTAGTAGTAGTAGGTAGCTACCTTTCGTTTAGTCCTTGGAATGTCACCTGGATGGCGTTAATTGTATATGATGAATACATGATGAAGAGATGCACGATGGCAGAACTTGTAGTCACCACTAGATGGACGGACGGACAGACGTACAGGCAGAAGGACAGACAGACAGATAAACGGATGCATGGACAAAAGCATGCTCGCACGGTTGGACGAACTGACTGACAGATGCATGGACAGACACACACACGAACGGATGAACAGACAGACAGACGCCAGCCAAACGCTGTCCTGATAGGACTCCGGAGAGAAATGATGAGAACACACGCGTGCCGTTTTGCTTGGTAGCCAAATGTCCCGCCTCATCGCACTGATTCACTTCTCAAGGAGGGCACTGTCACGTGGAAAGCTGTGACAGCAAACACTCTGCGTCTTGTGTGAGTGGTTTGTGCAGCCCACAAAGCAACATCAACTACCACCCATCGTACACTTATCCACAGGGAACAGAAATCCTGCGCCGAACCAGCGAAACGCCGGCCAGACACCACGGAGTAAAGAAGAACACCACCGAACATCGCCGCCGTCACCTTCTGGCAAGCCCCAGTAAACGCTGCAGTGGCCAAAGTTAGCGATGCCACCAGCTGCGTCACTTCCGCTGACATGCCAAACGTGACGACACACGAACAGTGTTGCCAATAATTCTGGCAAGCCAGGTGAGCCATCTCGAGGCAATCTTTAAAATTCATTTGCAAACAATCAAACCATCTCTCAAGCTTGTAATTTAGCAAAAATGATGTCAATGCGCATAGGAGCATACTCATCAAATTCACTGAGATCTATCGACCTCTAAAGATCACCGGAGTTGGCCTTTAATACAGTACTAACGCAATGAGAATAAAAAATTCACTGCTTTATTTCTTTGTGTACTACATTTATGAAAAATAAGAATAAGCAGGATTACTAAATTGAACAATACTGCAATGTATATCGGTGGTAAAAGTGGCAAGAAGTCTTATTTATTCAAAAAACCCACAAACTCAAGACGCAAGATGGTACAAAGCAATCCATGCACATAGATAGCTATGAAGTGACACAACTGTCAGCCATAATCACAGCAAACAAAACCATTCAGGCCATGAAGTTGGCCAAATCTGCTCACAAAACATTAAACAAAAAACTAGCAGGCCCATGATAACTTTAATTGTCTGCCACACTTGTTTGTGCAAGCTAGTTTTAATTTCAATGGCAAGGAAGCAGATCTGTGGCAACTTCACACAATGGCTTATTTCTCTCTCCGAGATTAATAAGGCTGCCGCATGGCAATGCACCTAAAAGATGTGCTACTCTTTCATTTACAGTTTTGCAGACAACACCATTTCACTTAGTAATTCATGCTATGTTCGGCATTGTCATGACATCACTATAATGTCAGTGATTTCAGGTTGAGCTGTTTGCAACGATAGTATCAAACTAGAATACATTCAGTCCCAGTTGTAATAAAGGAGCCAATGCCCTAAACAGTTCGATATAGTATTAGCTGCCTTTACACGGCCTAACTAGTATGCATTGACCTTGTATGTACCTCAGCATCACTGTGTTTCATCTGCAGCTGCATAGTGCTACTCATTATTCTGGAGGCCTCTTGTCTTCACCATGCTTCATATTATAGAACATTACATAAAGGAAGTTCTAGATAATGCATAATCTGCTAATGCGAAAGAAATTCACTGCGCATCGTAATCTGCCATGTGGATAAACTGCCAGCTCGACTAGCCAAGACGTAATCCCAAGAGTTGTTGCTCACAAGCGACAGTTCTAACCAAAATTGCTACTACAGCACGGCTTCGTTCTATCAATGTTTAATTTAAACCCAAAATATCTTCTATGAAGCACTGATCATTTGAATGCGTTTTCTTCACAAAAAAAAAAAACATATGTACAGCACATTATTTAACAAGACGTGAAAGGACCAGGAAAGGTAGTCCCACTTACTAAGTAAAACATACCTTAGTATACGAATACTAGGGTATTCTACAACTACAAAAGTGAATTACAAAAAGTTGTTCCACTTTAAAGCAATTTATTTTAACACCTTTCATTTACCAAGATTTCACAACTAATATGTAATCTCCAGTAATTTTGTTAGTCCATTCATGCTCTCATTATCACGGTTAAACTTTCAAAAGCGTTAAAGATTTACGCTTTTGAAAACTGTTAACAAATGTACTGTAGTTTATACATGCTAGACAAAGAAAATGTGGTTTAGCAGAGTGTAACGTTGGGCGAGTTGGTTGGTGCATAGAAAAAAATGTAGTTTTGATAGTTACATACCACTTCCTTGCTTTTTTAAATACACAGAGTTGTCTCCCTTTGTGCATTAAAAGCAAACAAAAGGTAACAACCTGCACGTTTGCTGATGTCGTCAGGGAAACGATTTTATACGTCCAAATAGTTTCTCAAACTACAAGAGAACATGCAGTGGTTGCAGTTATTTCAGATGCCAAACATGCGGTTAATGAAAGAAGCTTTATTGTGATGGTGATAGTAGAGCTCAATGATTAACTTGTGTCTATGTCGCTTGTGCGTTGGTAGCTTGTGCGGTGATGTTAGTGCGCCTTTGTGTGCCATTAGCGCTCACCACATCTTGTAGTGAATTTGCAACTTCCTTCGCTGTCTCTTCCTTCTTTGCAGGCAACGGTGACTCCTTGACCAGATTGTGATTTATGTCAGGAGCTGCTGTCTTTTGGATTGTGAGGCTGTGAAGAAAAACAAGCGAGAAGAAAAATCATTACAGCCTATATTACTACAAACAACAAGGTTAAAGCACAAATAAAAATGCATTTTCTGAAGTTTATCTTTAACTGAGATCACATACTGCCAGTGGTTTGGACTAGGTAACCTATGCAGAGTGGAACCATGCCTTGGTAATTTTTAAGGGTTGAATCGAACCACAGAGAGCAAAAAAAGATTAAGCATCTCTGATCCGTAAGTCACCATAGCAACAATTCCCAAGCAGGAATCCAGCAAAACCTATGGTTCACATACTTGGCTTCTGTGGGCTTCACAGCTGTAATGCACTTCAGCATCTTCTCAATGCTGTGTTTATACATATAGAGCAAGCTTGTTTCCTTCTTATAAAACTTCTGGACTAAATATATGCCTTGTGAATGCAAGCCAAACATTATAGAGTTGCATGGAACCTGTAATTTACAACTGATTCTCAGTCAGCCAGAAATCGTTTCTTCTTCCATAGATGAGTGATGCCATATACCCAATACTACTATGTCACAAGCACAACGTCCATGGATATTGGCCGATTTGAGCAATGTGAGCTGCACAGTTCCCGTGGCTGCCACGGGATGCCGCCACAAGCCTGGATGCACTCATGATCACACTGAAAGTATGCCTCATGTTAAAGAAAAAGAAAGGAATAGCTTGAAGTTCATAACGAGCAAAGACAAAAGGACGCATCTTCTCGTGCCCTAGTCATCCTTCCCCTTATGTAGCTTCAGCGTGCACGCTAATATGAAAGGAGAGGGAAAGGACTTGGTTTGTGACAAATCCCTCCAACTCCACCTTGCTTGATGGATTCCGAAATTTTTGCAGCAGTTGATTTGAGAGGCAATGAGCACATTTAAGGGGAGATGCTACTCGAAAAAGGATTTTCTTTAATAAAAGTCTGAATTTAACACAAATTGGCATGCTAATAGAGTTTTTTCTCCTCTTTTCAAATATGTCATTTATTTGCATGTAGATTGCTTGGTTTTCTTTCTGCAGGTCAGATACTGCAAAATTATGGCCATTGTTATGCAACAATTCTGACCTATAAAAATTTGAGATAAAGCATGCAGATATAGCTGACTATGATCCTTTGGAACTGTAGAGTGCAAAAAACTATAGATTTTGTGTGTAAAAAGGTGAAATACAATAATAAAATAGAAAAATTTACTATGGCTCTAGTTGCCAAGGGCTTTCAATGTTATGTAAATTTTGAAAAACATAATCAAGCAGCACTGACAATCTGAATAGATACTTGCACTCTATGGGCCTTCATCATGCTATGTGCAAAATTTCATAGAGGTATGACAATTCTAAGTATACGAACTAGCATGTATAAGAAGCACAGATCACACAAAACTGCAAAAGAAGAAAAACCCATTTGAAAGTTTGAAACCTTTTTTTTTTATCACAGACTTGTTAGAAATGCATAATCTTTGGCCATAATGTTCAACAGAACTTTGAAAAGCACTGCAAGTTACTAGAACTGTCCTGCAGCATAGGTTGTGCCCTCACGGTCCTTGCGAGCACTCTCTTCTAGCCGTGCCCTTTTCACTCCACGACGACGGTGGGCCCTTGCTTCTGCTGTCAGACGCTCGGACATTCTCTTGATGTGCCTCGCATCGCGGGAATCACTGAAAGTAACTAGATCTCTAGATGGCAGTATGTTGAGCTCTTCCAGGATGTGCTCAAAAGTAGCATGACCCTTGTTGAACCACAGGATTGCCATAGCTGCGGCAGTCTCGACAACCGTTCGGGAGACAAATTTAGTCTTGGGGCAAAGTAGCCAAATTTTGCTGTTCAGGTATTCCGATGCGTTCTGGGTTTTCCCTTTGATGCATTGAGCAAGGAGCTTCTCATCCGTTAGCCGCTTATAAATGGGCAAAACAGCCAATCCCTGTGCTTTTGTCAGGAGAGGTGTGTGGCGTGGTGCAGGTTCACCAAGTGCTTCAGCGCGTTGATGTTTGCACCACGACTCTGTTCCTGCAGGGCAAAACTTGTGGCTGCCAGCATTGTCAGTAGAGCATGAGTGGAAGTACGAAGCCCATACTGCAGTGTACATATCCCGTACACTCCCCCTGTTGCTTGTTATGGCAATCTGATAGTATGTTTGGAGCTTCTGAATGGCTGGCTCTTTCATTTTCTGCCCTCGTGGTAATGGCACATGCAGCTTCCGTAGCGCGGTGCCAAGTCTCTTGGCCACATGATTAGTGCAGTCTTCTTTTTCTATATTGACAGCACCATAGACTTGACTCTGCAACTGCACTATATGCTTTGCTGTCACCGTCACTCAAGAATGTCATGAAATGCAGTGGGGTGTCATAAATCAATGTTCTCTGCCAAATGCGCATTGCAGCCTCTGTTTCCATGGCATGGAAGGAACAGTCTGCATTTTTTTCACAGACTGGGCCATGGAATGCCTGCCACAATTCCTCGTCTGGGCCCATATCCTTGTGCCTACTGCATGTCAGGCAGTAATTTGATATGACCTCGAAGTCTAAGCAGAGGCCAGTATCTAAGGAGATAACTGCGCCAATCCCATTGTGGCTTTTGTGGCCCCTCTTCTGCCAAGTGCCGTCGAACATAACAGCCACATTAATTTCGCCTGCTACTTCTTTCGTCAACTCTCTGGATCGACGCAAGTTTTCACTCACAGCTGCCATGGCAGCGGTGTGCACCTTCTTTGCTATCGAAAAAAATCCTCGGTGGTGCATTGGCTTTGGGAGTCCAATAATGGAGCAAAATCTCGACAATTGCTCATGCCCAATGCCGACAGCGCGTGCAGCCACCACCGCCTTCACATTTACAGCGAAACTATCTCGGGAGCTCCCACTGTCGTACCGTTGGCTCACTCGGCTGCTGCCATCCGCCGTAACACGCAGTGACGTATAGGAGCACGAAAGAACAGTCGCTGAGCATTCGCTGTTTTCGCAATGAAGTTCGAGGAGCGACGAAAGTCCCTTGCGCTTTTCTGCCGGCTCCCGAACGGCAAGTTTTTGAATACCGCAAGCAGGGCATGCCGCACCTGCCACAAGTGCCGTCAGCAAGAGGGTGTCGCACAAAACTGTCGTTGCACAAACCTCGTCGCGCTGTCTTTCGTATTTTTCGAAGAAGCCGAGCTTCTTTTCCGAAGCACTGACGAAAGAAAGCGCAGCGTCAATCCCTTCATCGCAGCCACTGTCGCTCGCGCACTCGTCGATGCCGCCGTCAAGCCTAGCACACGTAGGCCCGTTCTCGTTCGTCGCCGTCGTTCGGGGCGCTTTACGCCGCCTTCCCTTGAACTTGTGCTTCGTTCGAAACTTCTGCGGTCTCACGTTGCACTTTTTCGGGCTTGTCATCGCGGAAATATGCGTAGACGCGCAGAAAAGCGGACGGACCAAATGCCGATGGCCGCCACCAACACAGCTGACAATGACTCGGTAGCCAATGGCGATGCGGCTTAGGGTGCCGCGCGTTTCAAACCGTTCAAACCACGTGATAAAAAGGCCTCGTTTATTTTTTTTTTGCCCACGTACGAAACTGGCGGTCGTCGGAGCTGTAAGAAGAAGGCCGGACGCAACTTTCCCAACCGATCGCGATGGCGGGCGGCACTGCGACGGGGAGCAGTGCGCAGTCAAAGATGGCCAATATCGGCGCAAATTCACGAAATTTTGAGCCACCGCGATGCCTTCATACACATTTTTTTTGCATTTTACAGTTCGAATTTAGTTTTGAAATTTTCACAGATGAAAGAAGAAGGTTTGAAGATTACAATGCAATGAAAATCAGAAATACGAGAAATTTCGCTAAAAACGCGATTTTTCGACTCGCATCTCCCCTTAATGATTGATTGATATGTGAGCGACATCCCGAAACCACGATATGATTATGAGAGATGCCGCAGTGGCGGGCTCTGGGAATTTCGACCACCTGGGGGTTCTTTAACGTGCACCCAAATTTGAACACAAGAGCTGTTTTCACCTCTGTCAAAAAATACAGCCACCGCAGCCGGGATTCGATCCAACGATCTGCCGGTCACCAATCGAGTACCTTAGCCACTAGGACACCGCGGTGGGGCTGAGCTCTTTTTATGAAGCCATTTACTGATTACTTAGAAAAGTGTTCCAAGAGATTGGTTGGGCAAGAGCATTACGGTCTCCAAGACTGAACAAATCCCTAAAAAATTTGTGAAATGTTAACAACACAATCTGCAACATGTTTTTATTGCACAATACGTTTCAAAAACACATAGTTTCGGGAAAAATTCACCGACGATTACGATACTACCTAATGCAAATTATTCGAGCGGCTTCGTTTCAGCTACCGCACTTGTAGCAATGTAACATTTGTTATATGTTGCCACAGAAACTGTCTACGCACGAGTGCTACACCCACCACCCTGTGCACTGTAGACCTCGTGAACAAAGCAAAATGCCGACAGCCTCATTATGGCAAGCGAAACCAGCCGCAGTGCACGTGCGAGCCCTCAATATGCACAAGCTCCGACCGAGGGGCCAGCACACGCGACGAAGGAGGAAAGCGAGGTTAGATGTCAGTGGCTCGCGATATCGGCCAACTCCACATTGGCTCTCTTTTATCCTCATTCACTATGTCGGTTATGCCAGCAGCGCTGCTGCTCAATACATAGGAATGGGCACCTAAGAGCTACGCTCTAAAAATACAATTCATAGCTTACAAGTAATCGCAACTACAAACAGTCAAGCTGACATTAAGACTACTGTGCCTACTATGATTGACATTTTTTGACAGCTCGACACTTCCAGGAAATAAAGAGAATGAACCTGAATTTGATATTTTGCGTGCCAGGGGAAACAGGCACAGGATATAAATGTCAACGAAGCATGACAGCCAGCTGTAGTGTAGGGCTTTTTGTCGATCAAAAGCAAGCCTCTCTATTGATTCCCCGCCTTTCATTCATAACTTAAGGAAAATTGACTATGTAGCATGCGAAGGTTTTTGGTCAGCAGCCTAATCCTTAAAGTTGAAGTACTGTGAGATGCGATAAAGAAAAAATAACGTTTTACATTCACCCTGACTGCCCCAAGTGGCGGAGAATGGCACTCCCAGGCTGACCAATATAAGATACCCAAGCAAATGGACAGTGGACCTGCAGTTGCCGTAGTACGAATGCTAGTAAAACATGGACATAATGTGAAGGGAGCGGGTCTTCCTACCTACCACCAGCCAATAAGTTTCCCTTTCTATTTATTATGTAATTATATTTCAGTTCAAAACTATATGCCCCGTGAGCATTTAGTGACAGTGTCATCTATGGCTGGGCACCTTGAATTCTACTGCTTTGGTTTGCTTTTTGCAATATCTATGACTAATACCTGTATATAACACTGGCACTTTTGAAAGGTTTTTTTTTCTAATTTATTTTATATCTCTCTATATCTATCCTCTTTCCGACCCTTTTCCCAACCCCGTGCAGGATAGCAAACCAGTTCGTCTAGGTTAACCTCCCTGTCTTTTCCTTTGAATTATTTCTCTCTCTCTCTCTCTCTCTCTTGAAAGGCCATTCAGTCGATGGCCAACAAAACGACACAGCTCTATCGACTCGATTGAGTTTTTGCACTACCACACGGCAGTTTTGAATGACCATAGAGAGGTTCAGGCATTTCTCACGAAAATTGTGCGACGCTGTGGATCTTTATTCGTGTTCATGTCATCGAACGTTAAATAAGACAAATCTACTAACAAGCAGAGTCTATTGTTTTTTATTTACACACTTTAATGAAACAGATTAAAGTAGTACCCGTCCTGTCTTCTTGTTTTGTGAATGTGTTTTCTCGTGCTCAAAATTTTCGTAAACATTTTGATGAATTGTTTATTTGTACTTACGAATACATGTTTAGTTTTTAAGTCGTTGAGCTTTAAAACTATGGCAACACAGTGCAATGAAGAGAAGTACGCTGCTGTTGTCGAGTGTGTGCAGGTCGCACATTTCAAGTGGCAAAATACATTATTAAATAATTCATAGCAACCTCATGTACGGTTTTTCAGGCCTACTGGTTAATATTTATTTGCATTTGGGAGTACGAGCCAAGTGTGAACAACATTCGCGCTGTTTCCGTTTTTGTTACGCTATTGCCGTAGAAGTTTCGACAGAGTTGTGGAGTGCTCTGTCGACTCGATAGACCATTTCCTTAATGGCCTTCAAAACGTCGTTTGTAGCAGCTTGTGCTGGTGATGGAGTCAATAAACTATTTGATGAAAGACCTTCCAAATGCTCATATGACATGGGTACAAAAGGATGAAAATTTAGCATTCATCCTTGCTCCCATCTTTATCAACATGCATAGCACTGCAAAAAAAAAAAAGGAACTTACTGTACACCAGCTGTAGCTTTTCTTTCAGCATCCCTGACAGCTGCCTTCAGGGCATCGACTTCACTGGTGAGCTTTGCCAGCGATGCTATTAAAAATATGAAAAGAGACATATTTTAGAACTAGAGTCAAAACATCACATTCACAAATGTTTGTTGCTCATTACAAGCCACTCTACTGCATGATGTGTATGAGTCACCACTTGTTGTACCTTATTAGTAAGAAACATGTTTAGTTGTCATGTAAAGTCAAACTCTTGCTTCCTCAGCAACTGCCTTTGCAAAATAAAACCTATACGTAGCAAACATTGAGCAGGAAAATGAAGCTCTCCAGCATTCATAACATAGTTTACAAGCTAAATTAAGCCATGCTACAATTTAGGCACATTCATAATGTGGAAATTATACAGGGGTTAGCAAATAAGTAGCATTGAATGATGTGAAAATTCAACTCTTTAAAGACAAGGTTTAAAAGTAATGTACACTAAGCACCGTCTTACTTTCTTTCTCAGACAACTTTGACGATGTCTCGTTCAACCTCTGCAGGCATCCAGTCTGAAACAAGACAAATAAGATACAAGCAGTGTTAACCACTTACAGGCTTTGATAACAGGTGTGTCTCATAGAGCAAACACAAAGCACTGTGCACAGCTTAAAGATACTTAAAGAATATTTCACTCCCTACCCCACCCCTGCAAAAGTAGATGACCAAGAAAACTGAAAAGAACCACAAACACAGCTTTTGAGGGAGGGTGCTGCCTTTAATGGGACACCTATATATGGCCAGTGAAAAATCTGGCAGTAAAATCTTATGGTACCAAATTTCCGTGACCAAGTGGTGACACCATGTTTTACGTCATGACGCAATGATCGTGTCACCACCTCAAACGTTACGTGATGATGTCACCAAGTGATGTCAAATAGCAACGTCAAGCGATGCCTCTTAAAAAAGCATCACAATGTGTGCTGTCTTCAGGACTGCCCCACACTATAGTGTATGCAAGCACAACACAAAAAATTCCAACCAAGGGCTGGCTTCCCCATAAAAATTTTCCCTAGTTTCTCCCTAGATTAGATAATACAATCAAAATATGAAATTTTCTAGCCTTCAGGTAAGTTCACAAAACACTGCAATCCTACCCTACACCCTGGTTGCATTCTTTTATTGTACAAAGAGTTATATTGTAGACCAAGCATATTGTACCCCGTAACTTTCAGTAGGCAAAACCTAAAACAATAATAATTAATCCAACTGTGGCACTTCAAAGTGCACACAAAATGTATAGCCTCACACTGCACACTATACTAGCACTATACCTATGACAATGTCTTTTTTTTTTGTTAAGAAAGAGGTTTTCACGAACTATGGGGTACTTCAATACCTCTATGTTCCATTGATTGATTGATATGTGGGGTTTAACGTCCCAAAACCACTATATGATTATGAGAGACGCCGTAGTGGAGGGCTCCGGAAATTTAGACCACCTGGGGTTCTTTAATGTGCACCCAAATCTGAGCACACGGGCCTACAACATTTCCGCCTCCATCGGAAATGCAGCCGCCGCAGCCGGGATTCGAACCCGCGCCCTGCGGGTCAGCAGCCGAGTACCTTAGCCACTAGACCACCGCGGCGGGGCACCTCTATGTTACAGGCTAATACGTTTGAGCACTTGGGATCTGCAGCACTATATGCTGTTTTCTATTTAGCAGGCACCGCTACCGAAATAGTGCTGTTATAAAAATTTTACTAATCATGTTTTGCAGTACGCTAGCTTTTTTTTATACTTGCGATGCTTTCTGCATCATATATATGACACAAATTACCCCTATAACCTATAGATGCAAGGTTACACAAAATTAAAATATTCATGTGCATCTTTATACCACAAGTAGCAGTGCACTTCATCACAGAAACCAGGGTAATCCTCTAGTAAATGGAAGTGAATAAGTTTTGCCTTCTGCCTTCAATGCCATAACTATGTTATATTTTGCAACGTAACGGTATGGAAGTTCATGTGGTATAGAATTACATGATAAACTTATTACATTATTTCAAATGTTATGCACTATATTTGTGGCCACGAAGGTACCACAAACAACTTATAGTAACTAGCACTTATATTCGATGCAGTGTAAATGTTTGTTGCACATTTTTGGCGCATCTGTTATAAATTTTACAGTATATGAAGAACAGGTACCAAATGTGAATACATTAGTCATGTTCAGCAAGTATGCATAACTGTTGTGACAAAGCATAAGATGCAAGAGAAGGGGATTGGTGCTAGGGGATTGGTGCTAGGGCATCACACGTGATTGTTACCACATCCATGAGATACAGTAACTTGGCTTGCGCTGCTTTCGTAGCTTCCTCATGAAGAAAACTAACTAGGCAGCCCTTCACTCACGGGCAGCGCAGCCAGATCAGAAGAGCAGGAGCTCTAGTGGGTTTGAGCAAGAGCATATAAGTTAGGCAGCAATGCTGTCACTGATTCTCCGGCTTTCCGCTATGTATAAATGTGTCATGGGCAAGAGCTATCGCAGTTTGCAAGTTGCTCGATTTAAAATGTCCCAGGTCACACACCACCTGGCTCATAAACGCGCGTCACCAGAAAATCATGCGAATAGAAACAATGCATCATTCGCCGAGCACTTCCGTCATGATATGGCAGCTACACGCTTGCTGGAAAGAAGCAGCCGGTCAGCTCCGACTTGGCATGAAATATCAGGAGCAAGTTACTATGTACACAGCTGCTACTGCCTAGCTGCGTGCAGGTGGGTCGCAAGCGTGAGATCTTAACGCTGTCGAGCCGACGCAAGCGACATCAATAGATAACGAAACGACAGAGCGCTAGCCACGCATGGACTAGCATAAACAAAATGCGGACTGAAAACGAAACGACAGTCAGGCGGCAACAACAGCACACAACTCGAAGTATTTGCGTACCAGCGCCTTGGCAGCTGTGTCGGCTTCACGAGACTTTGTCATCAGCTCGTCCTCTTTCTTGCGAAGCGCGGCCTTCGACGGCGGCTCTTTCTTGCTCCTTTTGCAATAGCTGCTTGTCCTTTTCGTCTAGCGACTTGGAGTTGTCCTCGAGCGTCTTCTTGAGCTCGTCGTGACGGGTTTCCAGGGACTCGCGCTTTTCCGCCATGGCCCTCAGTCGCTCTTGCAAGTCTCGGTATTGCACCTCCAAGGCACTGTACTGCGAGGACAAGTTGTAGTAACAGAATCCGATCAGCACAAGCCCGATTAGAGTGCTGCAAGCAAGAAAGGAGGTGCACGTCCGCCGTAGTGTGGCCGCAGGGCTCCTCGGTTGCTCCCGTTCGATTTCATCGCTGTGCCAGTAAGCCGTTCGGAATCACGGCAACGCTTTAGACGAACTGCGATGAAGGCTGATTCTAAGAGGAACTTCAACAACTTCGACTCATCACTTCACAAATGACGCCGCAAGACGCATTGACAGGATCACGGACACGGAGACAGCAGAGCGGCGGCCGTAGCAAATGCGGACGTAAATACTACATGGTTGCCTGACTTAAGCCGCGTCTTCGCTAAGTAACACCGGCGCGCTCGGAACGGACATAACCGTGTCGTGAGTTTACAAAGGCGAGCGACCGGGTCGCGCCCTTACACAGTCTATTGCGTCATAGCCTTCTAGACAATTATAGTGTATTGCCAGAATCAACACAGTGGAGAAGACACGTGCATAAGCGCACTTGGATAATGTAGGTTCATTTGCAAACGTATACCTTCAAAACAACTGCGTCATAGTGTTTCATACAATATTGTATGAAACTCTATGAACTGCATTATCAAAAATAATTGGAGACAAATTTTCAGCCACCTGCGATTTATAACTGATAAACTTTATTGGGAAGACCACGCGTTTATGGAAAAAACAAGTTTGCAAATAAGTTATCACAGTCGGACTTCCAACAATTATTTCACACATATACATACGAGTACATTAACACAAAGAAAAGTGTTGTGGGGAGTGAGCGTACGAACGTTAAAAAAAATTAACAATCTTGAAGGATTTCTCAGAAGCCTTATAACCATGCTATATTCAGAGAAAAGCAACTAACTTTTAGTTTTGTTTTCGAATAACGATTGCCCCATTACAATATAATGATCTTGACATTTTAGTAAATTTATTAACGCAAGAAAACTTTTTCTTGCGGTCTGCTTCTCTAAGCACCTATGTTTTACGTTGATAATTATGGACACGGGGTAAAGTATATCATACTTTGCTCCACTTTCTTTTGTTCGATTGAGAACAGTGGACAATTATGAAGCACTGAAGTCATTCACATTTATTCAGTGACATTTTAATTGAACACGATGAACTTAATAAGACAGTATTTCATTTGCGCCTGAAGTTTTTATGTATTCACGCGACCCACAGGTGAGAACCATTTGGACTATGCCTGCAAAAAGCAAGTGAAGGACACATTAGTACCAAACACAATTTTGCCTTAAATAGAAACAGCAAAATTAAAATTATTTTTCATAAATATTGAAAGTAACGACACCGACAAGTGACATTAAACATTCCTACAAAGTTTTTTGAGCACTGCCTCTTGCTGCTAAGCAAAAGGTTACGAGTTCCAACTCCTGGATACATTTATTTGACGAGAGTAAAACAAACATACTTGTCTACTTAGATTTGGGTGCACATTAAAGAACTCCCAATAGGTAAAAAATATTCAGGAGCCTCCCACTGTGCAATATGCCATAATTACATGATGGTTGCACACTTTACACTAAAGATTAACTTCTTTTCTTCAAGAAGATGGTGCATTCACACAACGCCCTCTTGACTGTTGTGTACTTGTATTATTACGTGCCAGGAACAAATATTGCATGCACCCACATGCAACAGTCCTGTCACTTCTAAACACTGTGTCTGTGTATATGCCGTATATACTGTGCTCAATCTGTACTTAATAAACGAAATGTACATAAGGCTGCTCATATATACACTTGTGTGTCATTGAAACGGCAAACTAAACGTGTGATACCTATGGATTTAGCTCATGTTTGTCGGTTTGACTACAACCACCATAAGCACAGTTACCCTCCGAACAAGTCAATGCACATGCATCACAACACTTGAGAGCCGTCACATGCATAACCAGTCGATATGTCTAGGTAACAGGCACAGCTTGCAGCATGACAGTGCCATGCCCTCTAAACTTGCCCTCTAAACCTGCCTCAATTTTGGTTCACATTGTTGTCTGTTGAAGAACGGTCTGTGTTTGGCGGCACTTTAAAAGTCAACTCAACAATTCATGCTTGTGCTGGGTTTCCGGTGTTGTCTGCAAGTTGAAGTCCAAGTTTTTCATTGTAGCCAGCAAATGCACGCTCTATCACGGTTTGCTGCACAGACAGCCAAGCTAGTGCTATCCAGTCTACAATGTGCAGCCAGGTTGCTGCATGTCTTGGCCTCCAAAGTCCATCACCTACAATCCAGTCAGTGTAAATGGCCATCAGTGTAGACAGAAAACTGGAGTAAACGGTATTAAAGAGTCCCGGTGCCTCGAGCACTTGTGTGCCCTTGTCAATAAGGATGCGATGCACCCTTGGATCGGCCATGGGGCTGCTGCTGTCCACAATGAGCACTGATCTTCTCATAGACTGCGGGCCACACTGTGACAGCCAGATGGTCTGAACCCAGTCGTGAAGAACATCATTGTCATCCGTAACATGTCGTCACCTGATGTCAAAAAGAAAAAGTGCACACAACATTAGCAAGCTGTGCCACAAATATGTAATAAAATGACGATTCTGTAGAAAGAAAAGGCAAACGAAATGCAACATAACAACCAGCTAAATGCTCGATGCAACCTTCAGTGCCACTGCCTTTGTAAGGGGCCGTGGCAAATGTAAATGTTTGCACCTGTCAGATTAATTCAGGAAAAAACAAAGCAAGGTAAGGTGACAACAGAAATGTGCATTTAGAGACATTGCAATTGTATACTAGTCTACTTTGCTCCATTTGTACAACAATAGACTAAACAAAGAAGAACTGATAATTATGAATACTTACATGAACGTTACTGGGAAACATTGAAATGTCTTGAAGACTTTCCTTCAAGCCGACGTAGAGAGGCAGTTTTTGGCCGTCTGCCGTACAAGACAGCACAATGTTCACAACCCTCGACGATTCATACTCGCAGTCCATGCCATCGACGTTTAAGAATTCTGCGGGTTTGTCGAAATACAGGGCCACTTGACACCCTATTCCGATTTGGGAAAGAGCGAACTTCTCCGTGCGATTCTTGGTGAAGACAGGGTATCGTGGCGTCAGCGGGCTTTTGGTAGCACCAACGATGAGGCCCTGCCTGGTCATGAAGCGCTTCATCCAACCTCTGGATGCACAAAACGTGTCCTGTGAAACACCGTACGCGGTGGCCAGCACACGCGCCTTGTTGCGACCATGCTCCATGTCACCTTAGCACCTTTCTTGCGGCTCGCAACAACAAAGGCAGCCAACTCAGTTTCAATGAATGAAAGCTTGCCTGATCTGGGCCCTCGGAAAGAGATTGATCCGAACGGCAATGCTGAAGTCGATGTTTGTCTAATCGCCACCTTCGGACGTTACGTTCCGACACAGCGTATCGGCGGCCCGCACAGCGGTTTCCCACTTTTTCAGCCAACGCGATTACTTTTAGTTTGAATTTAGCTTTGTATTGCGTTCTCTTGATAATGTCTTCGTCGTTTTCTACAACAGCCATCGCGAAATACGCGTTCAGGACGCATGTATTAGCCGCGGTTACAGTGTAGCCACAACACCGCACGACGACAGATGGTCACTGATAATGTTGTTGATGATGATGACGGTGATGATTTGTCTCTTTGCCCTTTGTAAGTTGTAACGGGTGAACGCATATTTTCTGTTCCAACCTGGGTATATAAAAAAAAAATATTACAAGCACAAAGGAAATTGACTCGAAGGCAGCGCCACACAATAGGAGTTTTAAACTGAGGTTTCGGTTTCGTTTCGATTGAAGGGCACTTAGCGTTGTTGTCTCAGCTAGTCGGCGGTGGTCATAGAGATCCAAGGCTGTACTGAATGAAATAAACAAAGTAATACGCAAAGATATAGCTTTTACGAAGCATTGTGAGACTGTTGAAATCTGACGCCAAGTTTTAGCACTTGAGCACAGCCTCTGAAGTTTTCACTGCATTGCATGGTGCTCATTGCATGGTGCTCAATGAAGTTTTGATTGCATGGTGCTAAGCGTCACCTAAGCGCCATAGAGTTTCCTTAGTCAGCGCATTATCTATCGTTTCAAAGCCCATGCACAGTGGTTTCAGCACCAGACCAGCGGAAAGAGCTACATCAAGGTACTGTAAACAAGGGGTGAGCTGAATCCACTGTGGATGACTCGAAAGCATTTACATTAAATTAAATGTGATATCTGAGGACTTACATCTAATTTTGGGTGCATGCACTTTTTTAAACGTTTACGTGACGTGCGTTCCGCAGGTAGGTTAAAGTGTGGCTGTACATTTTACTGATACATTTTAGTGAGCGTTCTCTTATCGCAAATGCATGCCAAAAGGGAACTCCGGCGACGGCAACATAGCGGTGACACGGCACGGCCGCTCGAAGGAACAGACGTCGTGCGTTTCCGTCAAGGGACCGCGTGGTAAGCAGTGATTAAAAAAATAAGCATTACAATAACATATAATCATCACCATCAGCCTGACTACGCCCACTGCAGGGCAAAGGCCTCTTCCATGATCCGCCAATCAATCCAGTCTTGTGCTTTGCGTTGCCACGTTATACCTGCGAACTTTTTAATCTCATCGGCCCACCTAACTTCCTGTCTCCCCTTCGTGCGTTTCGCCTTCTCTGGGAATCCAGTTAGCTACCCTTAATGACCAGTGGTTATCCAGCGGTTATCAGGATAACGTATTCGCAACAGAAAGGTTCAAGCTGTACGCGCTATCTGTATTTACACCATAAGTATTTCGGATATATTCATTAAATAAAATTGTTGCAGTCGATTTATGAACATGCGTGGCTACCTTTGGTTACTTTCGCTGGCCTTTGCTGAAGTTGGCTACAAATCTCTGGCTAGTTTCCTCATATTTCTGGTTATTATGTTATTGTTTACCCATCAACCGTCCATATGGTTTGATTTCAAGGCACACGTTATAGATTTATAAACGCTAGCACAGGCTTTACCAGGGTCCACCCAATATAGAGGCCAGTCCCACCGCTCGGCTGAACATTCCTCCAGCACGTTTGTGGGCCGCCTTGTTCCCCGGGTTCCCCACGTGAGCCGGCCCATAACATCAGATCAATGGAGCATAGTGATCTCTTGCTAAGGTGAGTGGTGTAATGTAAACGTGGCATCGTGGGGCCACAAGAAATAAATAGAGACAAAAAGAGAGAAAGGGAGCTTGCAAAAAATCAAGCCAAACAGCAACAGCCAGGACTACCTAGATGCCTATAAGTTCCGCTGTCTCTGTAGCATTGCCTCCAGGACAAGCTACGCCTTTTTTTTTTCTTTTTATAGGTACAGCCTAACGTTGCTAGATGCATCAGGATGATGTCAACCGCGCTTGCCGTTCTAAGCTCCAGTCAGCAAATGATATAAGTATAGGTCAGTTGCGTAGCCAGGGGGGGGATGGGTTGAGGGGTTCACCCCCCTGAAAATTTTCGCGAGGACACCCCCCCCCCCCCCCCCACACACACACACGTCCCGGCCACTTACTCAGTTTTTATTTTCATCGCTTCGTGCTGACATGTCCCGGCACTACTATCTGTCACGATGTCATTCCTGAGCGCTTTTGCAGTGAATAATGTGTGCACATGAGAAAACATGTCGCCGTGTTTGTCAAGGCTTTGTCATTCTGGGATTTTGGCAGGAATCTCAGCAGCGAGCGGGGTAAGTTGACTCGACGATGGGATTAATGCTGCAGCGATGGTCATACGTGTACCCGCCGGACCAGATCTCGCCGGAGTCGATCACTACTATAATTTTCCCGAGGCAGGGATTCGTTTTAATGGTAAAAAATGAGACACAGTTCCATGGTCCGATATGCCACGTTCAAGCATATTAGAGTGTGACTCTTCGTACTTGTGCAAAGATAAACTCAAGCCAGAGAACAACATTTCTATTGAACCATCGCAAGTTATGCTGACATCTAAACACACACACACGCACGCACACGCGAACGCGCGTGACAGAATATTTGGTTTATCCACCGAACTTCGCTTATATGCGAGTGTACAATATGTTGATACATATATTTACTATGCCCTAACGGCTAAAGGCACTCCAAATTGTTGTCTATTGACACAGGTAAACGTGTAAGCCAATTACAGCCTTAGAAAGACCTACTAACATACTCAACATGTAACTTACGCTGATTAATAAAAAGTTGGTGGTCATAAAAGTAAAACAGTGTAATCAGAAATGCAGGGTGGGCAGCTGTAGTGAGCACATGTTTTATTGTTCAGCAGTGTGGCAAACAGCGCAAGAATAAGGAACATGGCTGAGCCTAAAAACGTACGACGAATTAAGAATATTTATACGGATTCGCTTAATCTGTTTGTCCCTTTACATTGATTGGCATGACTGGAAGGGAACACCGAAGGATTGCTTCAATTAGCGACAACGCACAACAATAAATGTACAGAATGAAGAAAATTCATGGGTGGACGTGGACATGTTATGTAAAGTTATGAACAATATACAGAGTAACCGTTATTTTTAGAAGAAATGAAATAAACTGTGCAAGCAATGTTTCAAGCTGCAAGGAGGCACCTGACACAGCGAAATACTGTTGATTGTCTTTTTCAATTGACAAGACAATTATACTGCGCATTACACGTTATATTATATGCCAGATGTATTCCAAAATGTACGAGAACAGTCACATGCAAGCTTGCGTGGTTGCACCAAGTATTTAATGAGTCCCCTTGCCTTGACTTTCTTTTACAAAAAGCACACATCTTTGAAATATACAGCACCAGCCAGAAAAAATTTCTTGCCGGTGAAGTTGGAACTTCAGTTTCCGCTTATTAACTGAGAAAACGCTGTAGTTAGCGGATGGTTTCCATGACGTCTAGTAGCAAGCGTCCTTTAGTCTCGTCGTGCTGCAACTCCTGGCTTCTTGAACCTATTAAACAGGTGAAGACCAATGTGGTTGTGAGGAATCGTGGTTTCCGTGCATTCATCATGCTCCCATCGGTTTTCAGAAGTTTTTTCGCCACACGAGTAATATTCAGGCAGTGCAGAACTACAGCTGGGAACCGTTTCTTTGGATGTTGTAGCTTCACCAGTTGTCGAGTGTGCACTGGGATCTGTGTCGCCTTTCACGAAATAATCATCAAGCGTTACGTCACAGCGTTTCGGTGAGGCCATCGAGTCTCACAGAAGGGCGCTAATTGACACAGAAAACGAACTACCACCAATACGTGTAGGTAGCGTATTTCAATGGGGTGACTTCGCATTGCTAGAAAGGAACGCGCTCAGCAAAGTTTGGGCATGCGAGAAACGAGAACTTTAGTGACGTTATATGTCGGCTGGGTCTCGCTCTCTGGATTTCGTACCGACCGGTTGCGCCCCCGCAAATCTCCGACGACAGCGCAGCTCTGGCCGACTGGCTCGCCCTACGCCATCTCCTGCCGCCGACAAGAGCTCTCGCTGAGCGGTGCACCCGGGCACCGCTGAGTCGTCCCCGGGGCACCGCTGAGGAGTCCGAGGATGGCCGTCCTCGGACTCCTGCAACCGTGTCCATCTTTCCTATCTCCTCTTTACTTCCATCGTTTTCTGGCATTCGCTCTCCCTGCGCCTCGCTCTCTCCTTCTCCCATTCTATCTCTATACCTTTATTGCTATCTTTTTAATCCCTCCTTACCCCCATCCCTCGTGAGCTACTGCTGAGGTGTCGCACTCTGATGCAGACAGTTACGGCGCTCACTTTTCTCTTTAAGTATCTCATGATAATCACATATGTCAGCTGGTTAAGTTCCGCTTTAAACACTAGCGCTCGTTTCTCCCCCGCTGGTAAGGTCACGCTCGTCCAGTATCTTACTCTGTGCGCAAAACGTCTCGCGTTTGTGATTGCGCCCTTACGGAACGCTGGTAGTTTCTGTTGCCTTGTGATCCCATACCACAAACATAGATGGACGCGAAGGAGTCGGTGCCAGCAGTGAAATTTCAGCGACTCGAATAAGAATGCCCGAAACCGAGAACCGACAGGCATGGATGGTAAACAGTACAGCGTGTGTCATGCGCTGGCAGTTCTCGTCGGAGTTCACGCGTCTGGAAAAATGATTATGGCGAACCATGCTCTAAACAAGACCGCAGTTCATTCCTTTATCACTAGTGAACCAATAACTCAAGGTTTTCCGTGGTACGAAGTTGCTCCTGTTGTTCGCGCTGGCGTAACTGCTGCAAACATTATAATTATAACCATGCATAATTATTGTGCTAATTATAACAGTGTTAATTATAACAGTGTATAGATGACATATCTAAGCTGCGCGGTGAAATATTCTGCAGAGCTCTGAATATTTTGACGTAAAGGGAAATGACGGCGGCAAGCTTGCACACAACGGAAGACACTTTGCCACAACACTCGTTTCAGGGGGCAGAGCGACGAAAGGTATACGAACGAAATAAATAAACGTTTTCTAGCACATAAACCCAGCGAACAATCTACTTCTATGTGGGTAGCTATAGGGACCGTTTGGTATGCGGACTCGCTCGCTGGATTCCGTGCCGACCGGTTGTGCCCTCGCGATCTCCGGCGTCAGCCTATATAGCTCTGGCCGACTGGGCTCGCCCTACGTACATCTCGTGGC